ATAAGGAGAAATTGTACTTACCCAAAGTACCAGCCGCGAGTGCTTGAAGAAGAAAGATGATGGCGTAGGCCTTCATAATTGAGTCGCGATTGATTGCAAATTTTGTGAAAAACTGCGACGGGAGTTCTGGCTCAGCGTCAAACGTGGATGTGCGGTTTGGCGAGAAACGAGCAAGAAAAAGACTGTTGCGGTTTTCTCTGAGAAGAAGAATGATGAGAATGAGAGCGAATCCGGCCTACTTATGTACGCTGGCCATCATTTTTCATTAATCTCATGTTTGCCTGTCTCATGGACCGTGGATGTGACTTGCCCAGACATAGCTGAATACATCCCAAGACCGGCGTTGCGTCTGCAGAGAGACCTGCCAGGGTCATATCCGGCGATTCATTCACTACAGAAAATACTATGAATCATCGTTTCACTTTCTCAACACTTTCCAAGGTTTGCAACCTCAGTTTCTACCCAGGCATTACTCACCCGTCTGTTGAAAAACTATGTAACATGTACAGCTCCATGTAGACCGCCATACTGCAACAATCCCCGTCCAGCTTCGCGGGAATTCTCACCTCTTTCTGTTTCACCATTTCCCATGTCTTGCCCGTGCGCTGTCAAAGTCCATTACAACCAATTTTTACCATGAAAAAAAGCCTCTACTCACTGCCTGGTTCGGATACAACAACAGGTGCTGAGGCCCGCGTTGTGTCACCACCAACTCCACACATTAATATCTATTTTTGCTTCTTTTTTCGGCTTGTTGAGACAACGTAGTCAGGACTGCATCCGCTCGGCATGTCGGTGTAGATTGGCTGACTGGCACCTGTAGCCTCCGTGCTGACCGATTCATCGTAACTTATCCTTGTTTGCAGAAACGCAGCAGCCCCTGGCGGCACCACCATCACTTCGATACGCGCCATCCCAGATCCATTATAGAACTGAAGCGTCGACAACTATGGTGGCCTGTAAAAGAGATCCTCTCACTTACTGTCTTACTCTTGAGTCATTGGAGAGTGATACATTGGAGACTAGACTCATCTTTGTCTCGCGATTTTCTCAAACTGCAACTTGACAATGCTCAAGGCTGTCAAGACACTGTATTCCAGCCGCGCCGGTGCGGGGCCGATGGACCGAGACAGCCCATTATCTGAGCTATAGAAACCGACAATACTTGGAGGATCGTCGGGTGATGCACCGGATCTGGTGATCAGCTGGACTTATACCGCAATTGCATTGCAGGCCTCAGCTGGTAACATCTCCACAAGCATAGCCCTCTGACAGACTGCCATAATTATTATATGCTAAATAGTATATAATGTTTCATTTCAAAATGTGAACTAATAGTAGGTCAATGAAAAAAAAAGTGTAAGAGAATAAGCCAGTTTCTTTAGGTCGTTTTAGAATCTACAGAATTCTTTCAAGATGGCTCTTGCGGCCATTTACCAGCGACAGTCATTCAGAGCATCTGGTGTCGCCATTCTAATCTTACTAAATGATGCTTCGGCAGCAACAACAGTTCTTGATAGAAAAATGGAACGAAGCGAATCTATCAGCAGCTTGCACACATGACTTTATAAAGCGGTCGCAAATCTGCTTCTCGGAAAGCGTTGCGCTTCACCAGTACTCAACTGAGCGTTGCTCTCCATCAGTACTCGAATAGGATAGAAATACTTCATCACGTTTCTACCATCACATCTCTAAATCAAAGTGCCTATACCAAAACCAAGAACAGCTTTTGACATTCTCTTTAAACCTTTGTTCATTTCTTCAAGACTCAGTCTCACAACATCAGCAGATGGTGACCGGGATGCTTCCACGCAGGAATGGGACTCGACTCAGGTACCCGAAAACAATTCAGTGACCTGTATTACTGAATAGCAATATACGTGTGAATGGTCTTCCACAAGCTCCAGAATACACAAACCCCTTCCTTAATCCAGAGTTACCCATCACTGCTTGCTGATCCGTGAGGTAGTGGCTTGAACCCTTGTGACGTGTACGGCAAATGATAGGCCTGGTCAAGGCCAGCGAGGCCATGTAGGCCTTTGAGAGACCAGTGAGGCATGGTCGCGAGTTATATTTCAATTATATTTCTCTAAATAGAGTATCGGAGTTATAGGGGTAAGCATTGAATGACTGCCTAGGCTTTGGGTGGTCGCACAGGTTGGCCACCAAGACAGCCACACCAGCAACACATCACTTGACCAGTGCCAAGAAAGAACACCATGCATCCCTGTATAAAGACGGTAGATTTATCTCTTCATTGCCCCTGCTGCCTAATTTTCGTGTTCCACAAGCCACACGTAACAAGATGCACATCTTGAAAGCGGCGTCGAAGAGCTAGAAAGTGGCTGCACAGTGTTTCAGGCAATAATGATAGAGCCAGTGCTAGATGAGGATGAAGTAATGTATGACAGAGGGAGCCGTGTTAGTAAACACACGGATTCTCATAACCTCGCTACCCATGGGACATTGCCGATCCTGGTAGTCGTTAAACGGTTATCTGCCAGTGCTTATACGGCATCTCCATCATTGTAAAAATGTCCTTCGCTGCCTCATAATGTAAACTAGAGTGTACTTGAAGTATTCAGAGCGCACAGCTTCTTTTAACTTCAGTGGTCGCTTGTTTACGCAGTCCTGCTCTCAATATTGTCTTGCAGTCCTCCTGAGCTGGCCTCGCCTCCTTACCCGGCATACACCATACTTTGGAGTACGCATCTTGGATTGAAATCAGATTAAAGGCAGGTAATAACAAGCCACCGCCGAGTAGGATGCGTCGAGTCTTTCAGACAGAAAATGCGTCGCTCCAAGCAGTAGCTCAGTCGGGTTACGCAACAAACTGACTGACCCAATCACGCATGAGCTCCAAGCCTTGTGACACTGATTATTTGCATTCTCAAAACTTGAAGCCTGAGCTGGTACTTGTTTTTTTTTTTCCCTTTTCTCGCATCAGGCATCTGTCCCTGTCCAATAGATATCTCCCATTTACCGCCTCGACCAACACACACACCCACCACATGCATCGTGACGTGGCCGTATTTGGTCACATTTCAAATTTTAAAATCCCAAATTGACAGCGTTGAATGCAAAGCCTGCGCAATAACGTGTCGAAGCTTCACTACAGTCAAGATGAAGGGTCGAAAAGATGGCATAAATAACCCGTCTGTCACCGCTGGTGAAACGTTTTTGGGAGTCTTCTCATGACATCGAGTCTCAAATTTCTTCTTCTTTCGCAAAAGATCTCTGCAAAACAAACATCATGTCCGGAATCAATACACCTCAACTGAAAAAGCTCTGGAACGACGCCCAAGCCCGACCAGAGTGGGCTGCAACAAGGTTTTGGGAGTATGTCTTCGTGCAAATCGTTTTCAAAGACCCAATGTGGTCTGTTGCGTCGCAGCAGCCGCCAACTCGACAAGATGGAGATCGTCGCAGGGTTGACCTTATGGCGGAAGACATCATGAACAACTTCACTCTGCTTTTCGTGTAAGCCAAGAGGTCTGATGCCAATGTAACCCTTTTGTTCGTGAAGTTGAATACCAAGCATTCACTGCTTGTTGTGCACATCTTGTCAGCACAGAACGAAAGACTGGGATTTGGGCAATGACCTGTGTTGGTACCCAAGTGAGGCTCTGGGCTTATCAACGCAAGGATGACTACCTCACGCCATTTTGGCCTCTTGGGGACCAACTTGCCGCCAAAAATGATTACGTCGACTTTTCCACTCATGGTCAAGAACTTCTCGAGAAACTTGTCTATATCCAGAGGCATCCCTTTCCAGCGGGACACATCTTCGAACAATCACCCCGGCGTAGACCGACTGAAGTGACGCTTCCTTCTGATTGGCACGATCAAGAGGCTAAACTCATCTTGTTGGAGAATGGTGCGCTAAACATTCATCCACCTGTGGTTCCTAGCCAGGGCACTATCATCAGGGCAGAAGCTTGTCTGGAAGTCGGCGTTGAGATTGTTTGGGAAGGCCAGTACATGTGCATTCAACCGCGTGATGGGAAGGGTTTGCCTATGTATGTGTTCAAAAGTGGATGGGTCAAATGTTGGATCAAAGTCGGCAATAATATGGATGAAGGCTACATGTACAGTGATGCTGAGGCGGGCAGAACGTATTACACGTGGTCCCTGAAGCCGGATACTGAGAAAAGAGAAGGATAATATGATAATCGATTGTTATGCTGCTATAGGTAGAAGGGCTAGTGGGCAGCTGCGACCAGGTACGTTTCATCTTTAGAAAACCAGAATTCTAGTTCTCCTTGCATTGAAAAACTCGTCCATTCTTCTTCGTTGTGATGTATATTTTCAAGCTCAATTTTCAACTCGGTCCAATGAAGAGTCAGTCTAACTTCATCATAGTCCGGGTTGCTCACCAGACAGCGACGCAACCAGATCTTTTCCGGGCAGTCGTAGCATTCGACAAGATCAACTCCAACTCGGCATTGTCCCAAAGTTCGTTCAGCGCCGTTTTTATACTTGAGCAGAATTCCCATACAATATCCGGTTTCTGCGTGGTTGAAAATATTGACATGTGTGACATGGTTCAGCGGAGCGACTGAGAGAAAAGCATCTTCGATCGGAGAAGACGTGATTTGACGTCTATCAAAGTCTGATGTTGGGCTTGCAGGCTGCCTTTTTGCTGATATTATTCCAAGAATGCCAACAGGCAACAGCTCTGACACATTATATACCAGAGTATGGGCAGATGGGAAAAAATGGTCATGTGCGAATTCGGACCAAGTAAGGCCCACGGCGACATCGCCTGCCAGTCTCATGCGCAACTATAGTGGTAATGAGTTGCCCACACTTCTTAAACCGATTCATTCAACTTACAAGAAAGCATGCACTGAAGGAGTTCTCCTTCATCAAGATGCATACACCCATCGCAGAAATGCAGTCGTGTCGTGAGACTGGAACGTAGATCCAAGTGTCGCGTGATTTGACGCGGGTCGGCAAACGCTGGTAGGTTGGCTGCGCACACCACGATCTCGTAGTATGAGCATGTATTCCGTAGATGCCGCCCCGATTGAAAAAGAAAGTCAAGCCAAGCACCAGACCTAGATCGATCGTATTGAACCGCAAAGGGTATCGGAGAGCAGCGCTACGAATGCAATAGCTGTGATAGAACCCGCACTCGGCGAGAAGCCTCGGAGGGGTAGGAGTGTCCCATATCTCCAATTCATTCCGAATTAGTGGCTCGGGCAGTTCCAGACGCATTCTTTCACTCTTTTTGAGGTGTCAGCTTCTCATAGTCCTCCCGTACTAGCAGCTATGTATTCGACTGACCTTGAAATGCGCAATGATATTTCTAGTGTAGTTGCGATCTAGAACTATGTAGGCCAGGGAGTCTGTTCGCCATCTCTTGAATTCTGTATCGCTCAAGAGGCCTTCTACGCTCACAATCCCCCACGAGTCGATCGTCAAACGAATAAACGGCTGACAATTATCCGACACCATCTCTAATTGACCACCACGGTTCCATGCTGAAACATCGCTCAGAGGCACGGATATTAGCTTGTCGTGTGAGTCAAGTAACCCCAAATTCAGCTCAGACACCACGCTATATCGCCAGAACAGACTGCCTCGTGAGTATCCATAGATGAGATGAAGGATTTCCAGAGGAAGAAGCCTCATTTGTGGAATGGCAAGCTTATCGGTTATTGAGAAATCGGGCGTGATCATCCCTTCTTCTTCTAGTCGTAGATGAGGAGCGTGGCGCCAAGGTGACCGCCAGGTAGTCATGATCCACAGATGGTGGATGGTTTTGGGCAGACTGCATCTTCTTGTGGCCAGCTCAAAGCAGTCCGAGTGTACAGTCGATCCCTCGTAAGCCCCAGCACACCAGCCGCAGTCTAATTGGCGACACAACATTACCTCATTGTTGGTTATCGTAGGCAAGCTGTGCTCGGGAAACGGAAACGGACCACGGGGTTTGGAAATCGAAGTTGAATCATGTCTGCCAAAGACTATCGGACCCGCAGCGTGAGAAATCATCATATCAAGTGACAAGATTGGCAAGCTCACGCAAAAGTATTGGTTCGTCAACGGTTAGAGAGGCGCTGCAGAGGCCACAATTAGGGCGGACGCACAAATGATCCCAACCCATCAACTTGACCGTCTCAACTAGCGGCACAACGGCAGCCGTATGGGCCTCGGGATCCATTTATGAAGAGCCGAAAAGTGGGAAGTGATGCAAGATATCAAGATACTAACAGGCCCGTGAATCAAATCGAAGCTGGTGAGGAGGCCACGGAGCAGGCTCGAGGCGCCTCTGATTGGGCCGTGCCTGGACCGCCCAAGACCCGCGTTTGTATCACCTCAACATCGGGCGCTTCTGGCACCGGCTGCTAAGCCACGCCGACATGAGCGTCAAGTCGTGAGGTATGAACATCAATTGGCTGGCTTCAAAAGTAGTCAGGCCTTGGTGTTGTCGGTTTGTCGTGCGGATGCAGTTTGGAGCGTGAACAACGCTGATAGGGTAGCAGTAAACCTCAAGTCCAGAGGGGTCAGAGGCCAAGTCCAAGTGGGGCATTTTTCTAGAAGGCGGTCAGGATGCGTTACATGTCTGGGGAAGAAAACATACACACCTTCATTGATGTAAATTAGCGCCTTACACGTTCATATTACAGGGCAGATCCTCTACAGATGATACGGATTACAGGGCCAGTCAATCAACAGCTAGTCTACCAGCACCTAGTATATCTAAATTACTAATTAACTAGCTATTCATTGACTAGCTAATAAAGTATTACCTGTAGCGCATCTATGTATTTTTTGGCCGCTTTTAGCGCCGCTTGGACTTGGCCTCTGACCCTTCTAGACTTAGTAATCTTAAGGTTTACTACCTGCCAACGCTGATTACTAAGGTACTGTCCGGATACTTTTACGTTTGCAATATTCAATTTACCAGCAATTTCTTATTGCGCGTCACCAGACCGTTCGTCATGAGGCAAGTCGATATTGATTCCGGAAAGAATAGTCGTGGCCAAGACTAGCGATCTCGACATAAGCGAACTTGAAAGCGAATATTGAAGCCACCGCCGGATTCCAGCAGTCTTCGCGACGCACCCAAGACCCGAGAGCTTCCAAGTCGCCTCAATGGGCCTGTTTGCCATGAGTAGGAAGAATTCGACAACTTCTTAGTTTCGCCGCTCTCCCCACCAATCCCATACACGCTGCCTGGCTTACTTGGTCATGATCTATGATCTAACCGTCGCGTTGTGTCTACGCATGGGATCCTAATGAGCATATTGACGCAAAACGGCGTAATATCAGTCTTGTCGAATGGAAAGAGCGCGGATGGATTTCTGCTTGCGCCGGCCGATATTCTTCATCACCAGTCCAAGGCCAGCGGCTCCAAAGGTCAGCACTAAGCCGGCGATGGTTCCCCACTGCCCGATGTGATTGAAGCTCTCGCTCGGGGGGTCCGAGGCCCAGATGACATACTCCATGAAAACGGTAAAGTATAGACAGACTAGGAGACTGAAGAGCCAAGCGTATACATAGATGATACGAAAGTAACCCTGCAGGCAGAGCACGAGGATCCTCTTTCCCAGGGCACCAGAGCCGGGGCGCGGACTCTGGAATCTCGCCAAGATGTGGCGAAACATGATCAAGGTTTTCGTCCACGGATACCGTGCCTGGCTCACGCCGAGGCGGTGCGCGTTTTCGTCGTTCAAGAATTCCGAAAAGTAATCTAGCCTCATCATGGCAAACAAGCGCCGCCCGGGCTTGCTCATGATGACGGCGATGCTCAGATTGGCCACACTCGTAGCGCCAAAGAGAAAGTACATTGCCACGAGCGCTGACCAGAACGAGTTTCCCTCCGTGAAGAACCCGAAATGACGAGGCAGCACCTGAATCTCGGTGGCGTCCCGCAGCGGCCAGGCAGTGTCGAAACACGGATAGATGCACGTGTTGCCCAGGGGTCGCGTGTCGGTCTTATTGACAAAGTGAGCCAGCACCGTGCGGTTCCAGTGGTACCGGTCCTGGCCGTCCCACGTGCTACCGACGGTCTGGCTGCCGTCGTTCATCAGCGGCAGAGCGTCGTGGAAGCCGCGCGGACAGAAGCGCAGCTGCGGAAATGCCCAGAGCTGGACGTAGGCCTCGGCGACGAGCGCGCAGAGGGCGCCGGCGAACAAAAAGACACCCCACAGCGAGAGCAGCAGCTTGACGCTAGATTCCCGCAGCGACTCCCTCAGCGTCAGGGACCAGATCTGCATTGGCAGCAAGACCAGGAACGCCAATCCCACAACCGTCAGAACAGGGTCCACATCGGAATCCCATGCCATGGGCAACACCGCCATCCAGAGCGAGTCGTCGCCCGCTGCCGCCGTCTCGTCGTACGAGAGTGCTTGGCCGGTGATAGAGAGTCCCTGAACGCGGACAAGCTCATAGTTTTTGGCTTCGGGATCGATTGCGAGCATCAGCCTCGTACGTATTGATGCCAGTACGACGGCGTGGATAGCCGTGGTAGCGCTGTACACCATGACGGCGCCGAGCGCGACCTTGGCGGCCCATCCGACCCGGCGCCAGACAATGGTGACGACAAGGAGGGCGTAAAAGGCATACCGCGGCGTCGGACCGTAGCTGCCGCTGGGGCTGTAGGCGCACTGGACCAGTTGCGTGTCAAAGTCGGCGTTTTGCCCCTGGGCGTCGCTGCCCACGATCCAGCCGTCTTCGTCCGTATTGTAGGGGGGAAACAGCTTGACATTCTCGGGAAACAGTGAAAGGAGGAAACGGTTGGTGACGGGCATTCTCTCAATGTACTAATTATGAATGCTGCTGGCAGATGCTCATTCAGCTGAATGATCCAGCGCAACCCTAGGGAAACACTGCAAGTGCTCAAGTCAACCTGGCACAGCTGAACCCTCCAAGATGGGAAGAACGCGAGTAACATGGAGTCACGTGAGCCGCGCTGCAGTAAAGCAGATGAGATAATGCGAGTTTCATCACGAAGGCCATCATCGCTTCATTGTGCAGCCGTCATTCCATTGCATTGGGCCTTTTCGCCCATTATCTGGACGAGATTTCTTGACTGTAGATCGATGGGCGGGGCTTGGTGCGACCCCACGATCGTCCCTGCTCTCGATGGTTATAAAAGACCATGATATAGATAGTATGCGTATTTCCTACTTCTGGGCCGGTGAAATTGGCATTCTGCACACACGCCTTGTGCGCCAGATAGACCAAGATGTACCAATCAGAGCACATCAGCAAGTCGCCGCCAGCTACTTTGCATGAAGCGACGTTTCCCTGTGACGTGATTCAGCATGCGACCAAGACTGGAAATTATGACTGTACAACGTCGGCGTTTAGAGGTGACACAGTCTCTAATACCATAATGACAAAAAGACGAAGAAGAATCTCAAGGTATAATATTAAGTTAATGGTAAGCTGCAAACAACATGCCCTTTTATCATAACTAGTTGATTGCCTCGCTTTCCTTATTTGGGGCTGTGGTTCTCGTTAGTCTGCACACTAGAACTAGTGCGCGTCTAAGACCGGGTTATTTCCCAGGCTAGTGTTGTTCAACATGTCTCGAGACTAGCTTAGTTATTGTCGTGTGTATTGTCTAGGGTGCAGTATCCAACTAAATGGATTAGCCTAGCGGCTTTGGTGATGGTCAGTTCTCTGCTAAGACATCGCCGCTCTATGTATCTCTACGCTCCCCCCCGGCAGCCAGGACAGCCTTGCGTGGCTGTGTCCAAGGGGGGTCCCATCACAGAGAGCAAGCTTCTACGTCGCAATAACTCACCTATCGAAAAGAATTTTCCGGCCATGTAAGTGATAGGTGGAACCGAGATTGATGCAAAAGGTTAAATATAGCGCAGGGCATGTTTGCCGCAGAGACGGAAGCTGAGGGGCCGCGCCTGCGCAATGATGTTTCCGCACGGGCCGGGGTCAGACGAACCACTTTAATAACATTTTTCACTGCAACTTTGATTACTAGATCAGATTAGGTGAACAATCGCTAAAAGCTAATGACCAAAATTCAATCAATCCTGATTCAATATCAATTGGGCTCGAGCCTGCTCGCTTCATTGCCAGACAAAGAATTCCGGTACAAGCTTTGAACCTACTGGTATGTCCGCGGGATGGAATATGTCTGACTTGGTGGATAAGATCTTCATGTATTGATCAAGGGTGGTAACGTTAATTCTTGGCAATTAGAGCAAGGATCGTCTATGAAGCTTGCCCTTGTCATCCAGAAAGTGTGGAGGCTTAGACCACAAGTAATGTGAGGTTGCAGAAACAGCATTGCCGAGCGCGTTTCTGCGAAACTGTTCGATATAAAAGATGTATTTGCCTTGCGATACTTTCATGAATAACGTATACAAGTGCATTGTCGCAAGTGTCTTATTTTCATAGCATGGTAGTCTGCGTTGCATGGTCAAAACTGTGTATTATGTGATTACATGGCCGTATACGAGTAAACCACCATCATATTAATTACAACACTGGGGGAACAAAAATTCCAAGCAAATTCCACCTTGTCAATACCTTAAGCCTGACTCTTAAGTGCTCTTGTTGGCGCCACCAAGCCCGGCGCTCTTGTTGATTGCAACGTGCACGATGCGATGGCCTTCACGCAGCTGGCTGTTTTGCTCCTTTGGGATCGGCTCATTCGCGGTGGTCGGGATCGTGACAAACTTCATGTGGTCGGGGAGGACCTGCAAATCGGCCATGACGCCGCCGGTGCCGCCAGAGTTGGGTGGGTATTGGTCACCGCTTCCGGGGAGGTGGCTGCCGAGATTGCTGAACAGGCTGGTGAAACCGGACATGAGGCTGCCGGCGGTAGCACCGCTGCCGCTGGCGGGTTGCTGACCGGCGGCGGGGCTACCAAGAATGCTGGTGAGTCCGGGTAGGGCGCCGCCGGCGCTGCCGTTGCTGGGTGCAGCTTGGCCGCCGGTGGTACTGCCGCCGGGGTTGCCGAGAAGTCTGGTGAATGAGGACAAGATACCACCGTTGTTGGGTGCGTTTTGGGTGCCGGAGTTACCAAGGATCCCGGACAGGATTCCACCGGTAGTGCCGTTGGCGGGACGCTGACCGCCGGGGTTACCAAGAAGGTTGGTGAGTCCGGACAAGATGCCGCCGGACTGCTGGCGAATGGCAATGGTGGCACCTGCATCAAACTTTGTTAGTTGTTTCTTGTTGTGTAATTCTCTCTTTAGTTGAGCCGAGTTGAGGAAAAGGAAAGTTATTAGGAACATGTTGTGCCATTCCCATACAAAGTCTTCGTACCTGATTCCATGGGAGCCGCCAGGGCAACGGAGGAGAAAGTGAGAAGGACGGCGGTATAACGCATCTTGAATAATGAATTATGTATAAAAGAATGTTTTTTTTTTTAAAAAAAAAAAAAAAGAGTGAAGGAGTACGGATTAGATTGCGCGTTGTAAAGACTGAGTTGATCAACAGAAGCTTGTGAGTCGCAGTGACAAACCTCGCAGATCTATCCAATATATATATACATTCATCTCAACATGGTCGCGATGCTTGATCACTCATCGGCCAAGTAGCCAAATATACGTACAAGCGGCCTCGGCGTAATTACACATATACGTGGTAACCGTGTAAGAAACGCTCAGGCTTCGTTTCAGCACTGCTGGAACCTTTGCCAGAGCGCATACGTTGGAACCCACATCTGTGCACACGGAGGGTGGAAGAGCCAAAGAGAGCCTCGCCGCTGATAAAAGTACTCAATTTCTATTCTTCATCTTTGCAAAAAAAAAGTTTCAGGCAGATTAACTGAGCTTTGACTTTCCCTTTTTTGTTGTGTGTGTGTGTGTGTGTGTGTGTGTTTTCTTGCTTACTCTTTTGCCCCCCGCTCGAAACGTGTAGAGTCAATTCGTTGCCTAAGCGTGATTCAAAGGTGCAACAATTTCAAAGCAGAATTTTGACGGTAGAATGCTCATCATTGGCTAAAAGTTTCGAAACAAAATGCCATGGAACAATGACAGCCTTTCATCCCTATATAACCCTGCTCGAGGCCCGTGGTATTGGTTTCTTGTAAAGGTGGTTGTGATGAGCTGATCAAGATAGGTATTCTCAATTTTGACATGAGAGATTCTCAAAGATACTGGAAGTAGCAATAATTGTGCAGCGGCCTAAAAGCTGTGGATATATAGAGTTGTTGATATGTCGTGATAGTCCCTCATTCTTCCTCGACACTCAGTATAGAAATTCTTCAAGAGACACGGCTCTACTTTACACTATCAACTGCTTAATGCAGAGTCTTTTTGTCAGATGACTGATAGGGCACAATATCCTTGCCGCTCCCACCTTGGGACTCATCGCAGATGCACTAAAGAAACTTATGGATGGCAAGCATGGCAAACCCTGCAATGAACCCGAGAACACCCCACCTTCCATGCAAGATATTGCCAATGCAGCGCAGACATGGCAGGGGGGGGGACACGAAAATGGTCTCAGACTTTCTCTCACGTGCAGAGAGGCCTTGAGCCCTCAGGAATTTGCAAGAGCAAGGCACACTTGCTTTGTCTGCCATCAAAGACGAGATGGTACAAAAGGCTGTTCTTGACAAATTATTCTTTAATGGAGCGGCAGAGGATCGGGTTCCTCGCGTGGTGCAAGCTGACGATACGCTGACCAACCCAGGAGTCTCCGGATTTGTCGTGGATGGACTCGCACTCTTTTCGTCCAAATTTTGTCAGAGCAGTGAACCAAGACAGATGCACAAAAACATGTTGCCGTCTATCGATGCCCATCTTTCGGCCGCAGAAGTCTTTCTTGGAAGCGGAAATTGGAAACGTTTAGAGCCGTACGGCCAACTAATTGCTAGTGTGAGTAGAATGGGAACAGTAAAGGCCTGGAACTGCACGGTTGTTCGTAGAAAACACTCATTTAATTCTCGGGTAATTCATCTATGCAAATGCTGGTTGAAATGATGATCTTTACTTGACAACAGCTCCGCTTTTGAACAATTGGTGTACGTGTAATGCCAAGCTTAGGCAGCACGAGCGTCTTCTTGGGGGATCAAATCTTGGACGTCGGGCACAGAGCAGTGCTCCCCAGCGTATTTCATCAAGGCAATGCCCCTTGTTCGTAGAACGGTGACTCGCTAAGCGAGAAGTCGGCTCTCGGATGTCACGACACCTGTCAGCGCAGGTACGTCGATTTATCGATGGTGGCTGACGTCAGGGCACGAGCCTATCAATGCTTGCTCGTCTCGCCATGCAAACGTGGACACGCTTCAGACGTTGACAGAGGTCTGCTATCTTTAGAGATGACTGCGAGCTTTGCACTCGAAGTTTTTATGCATCATAGCGTAGTTTCAGTCATTATCAATAACGACCTGCCGGCGCGCTGTGGTACGTTATGTTACGTACCTCTGCGTTCGTTCCCTTTCTGGTCCTGCCAGCTGGCAGCCATGGCCTTTACGGCGGCGACCACCGCTGGTCTTGAAAGGGAAAGGAACGGCGTTGGGTGGCGTAAAATCCGTTTGTCTCCGTCTCTGTTTTGCATTTCTTTTTCTGCCTTCTTCAACTCACACACAGCTTGCGTGCCTTTAGAGTACGGTCCGTCCTATGAGGTATCGAACGCTTCAAGTCATTCTGCTGACTCTTCTCCTGAACCGCCGACCACCCCCCCCCCTTTGTTTTTTTTTTCTGGCCTGTTCTCAGAGTCTAAAAGGCACGGAAGCCAGTTTCGAGATGGACATGGGAGTATTGCAGAAGGCGACCACATGAGCGCGTACGCCTTGCAGCAGCAAAACAAGGTAGAGAGCATGCAAGGTTCACTAGAGAGATTGAACAAGAATATAAATCGGAAAGGACACATGGAAAATACTTCTGACGAAATCTCAATATCTTATCCAGCGTTACTCTACTTGATACCTCGGCCAATCTTGATGAAATCGATATAAATCTGGGACACTGTGTTTTACACCGCTACATCTACGATCTAGATTTAACTTCTGTATGTTGTTGCGGGTCGTTTTCCTTTTCTTTTCCCTTTTTTTTTTGGTGAGAATTAATACTGTTTCATAGATTTGTTGGTAATCAAATTTGAACTCTTGAATTGCTTCTTTCTAGAACGCGAAATGGATTGACCCAAAGATGGAACCTCCTGTATAGATGACCTAAAACTCAAAGAAAATTCCCAACGTGCGGCGCAATGTTCAGTCAGATGACCTCAAACGCAAAAGAGTCTGATGAGCGGCGCAATATTCTGTCCCAAGATCTCCTGGCTGCTTAGCCTTTTACCGACTAGTAGCAAAGTTGTGGAGGCTACAGGCACACGCGATTAGCTTTTTCGCACAACATCATCTCATCTATGGTTCATACCTAATGTCCTCCTGACTCGTCATGGGCTCGCGCTCCGTCGCCTCCGAGGACCGTACGTTGACGGGCCCGCCGTTGGCGACGACGGTCAGCTTCTTGGAGTCGGGGCCGGCTTCGTCGGCCGGCTTACGCTTCTGGCCCTTGCTGGCGCGCAGCTCGCTGAGGTGCTGGAAGTAGCTCTCGGGCACGTCGGTCTGGTATTTGCCCGAGAAGACGCCAACTTCGAAATCCTTGATTTGGGTTTCGCCTTCAATAGCCTCGAGGCACGCGGCCTTGAGGTCGTCAAGAGACTGGTATATCAACTACGGGGGGGGGTATGGTTAGTCTCCGTGATGCGAAAAAAATGACTGCAATGGGATTAATGGTAGCTACCTCGTCAGCGCCAATCTCTTTGGCAATCTGCTGTCTTGTCTTGCCATGGGCAACAAGTTCTGGACTCTCTGTTAGCATTGAGTTTGGAAGCGTATCCGTTGTTTTTAGCTTACGACCAGGGTCCGCAAGATCAATGCCGTAGACGTGCGGATGTGTAATTTCTGGGGAGCACGAGGCCAGGATGACCTTTTTGGCGCCAGCTTCTCTGCTCATCAAGACCTGAGATGGCATGTCAGTATTGAAAGTGGCCTTGAAAAGGACAAGTCGTCACATACAATCTCTCTTGATGTGTTGCCGCGGACAATGGAATCGTCGACCAAAAGGACGACCTTGTCTCGAAACTCGACCTGAATGGGCGAAAGCTTTCTGCGAATACCCTGTTGGCGGGCTTTTTGACCGGGCTGCGTCTTGTTAGTCGAGGTTGAGTGTCAAGGGTAGCCAGTAGGGAAAGCTGCATACCATGATGAATGTTCTGAAAGTGTATCTATTCTTGACGAAAGCATTCGACAACGGCTTGTTCAAGCAACTAGCCAGGACAGAAGCTGATGTATTGCTTGTCTGTTTATATTTAGCATTTTCATTGTCTTTCATGCATTTATTTAGCAAGCGCATACCTCGGGAATGGGAATTACTGGTACTAGTCAGCACGTCACTCAATAGCGCCCGACTGTTAGTGCAACATACCAACATCAATCTCATCGACTCCCTTTTCACCCAAAATCTCCTTGACTTTGTCAGCCAGCTTGTAGCCCATATTCTGACGGCTACGATGAACAGAGATGCCATCAGAAGTAGAGTCAGGTCTAGAAAAGTAGACAAATTCAAAGCTTGGAATTTTTTGTCAGTATGAGGGTCATTGACACTGGAGGAAAATCAGCTTACATGTCAGGAGTATAGGACTTCATGGGGACAATCTGGCGAAACTGTGGCTTGCCACCCTTTTGGATAAAGACGGCTTGTCCTGGCAGGATGTCGACAATGTTGGTGAAGCCGAGCTGGGTGAGAGCGACGGACTCGGAGGCCATAAAGTAGTCCAGTGCGCCTTGAACGGTGGAAGAAGGGCGAGATCCAAGGCAAAGTGGGCGAATACCATTTTCGTCTCTGCGACTTTGGTTAACTACGTTGCTCCTATGAATGCGATGACCCGCAGCAGGGTACATGCCTGAATCCGAGGATGCCGAAACCAGTGATCATGGCGACGCAGGCAAAGCCACCCTTGCAGCGGGTATAGACGTCACGGAGGCCGGCGAAAATGTCGTCGGCATTGGCACGAGCCTTGCCGAGCTCATGGAGAGCGTGGGCGTACACATTAAGGCTACCGAGGTCAATTAGCGAGGGTTGAGCAGGATTGAACGCAGCCGGTGGGCATACAGTAGCTCAGAGTCCGAGTCTGTATTAACATGACGGCGGGCCTCGAGGTCAAGAAAGACGCGAAGCTCTTCACTGTTGACAAGGTTGCCATTGACAGCCAAGCTTAGTCCAAAGGGGCTGTCTGTGAGCCGAGTTTAGTATTGGGACTGAGTTGAATGGTCTCCAGGGTGATACATACTGACTGGTGTGGGATGTTAGCTTTGATCAGTCATTGACAGTGAAGTGCTAGATTTCGACTCACCATAGAAAGGCTGGGCCTCGGAACTGCATGAGATAAAGTTAGTCAATCGCCTCTCATTGCCACTCGGAGATACATACGCAGACGAGGTTCCAGCAGTCGGGTAGCGGACATGCGCGATGCCTTCATAGCCCGGCAGATTGTCAGCCAGCAGTGCAGGCTCCTGAAAGACCTTTGAGGCCATGCCATTGCCCTTCATCTGGTAGAGCCGCCCGCCCTGGCATACTGTGATACCTGCAGCATCCTGTCCGCGCTAGTTCTAGGTGTTAGCGTTGGGACTCCGAGACCCTGAGAAATGCTGAATAACAACAGTCTGAAACAAAAAGCTGACTTACGTGCTGAAGGTAGTAGATGCTCTCATGGAGCTCCACAGCCGCCGTGGTAGCCTTGACGTCGCCAAGCTGGGGAAGAGATTTGAGGTCAGCATGTATAAAATCCGGGGGACACGCACGCAGGGCCCGGTATCGGGAGCACGCGGGGCACGGGAAAAAAAAAGTAGAGAGAGAGAGAGGAGGGCTCACCAAGATGGCACTGATGCCACACATGATTGCAGGCAAACGTAGCGGTAGATGCTAGATTGGAGGGGAGAAGGCTGGAACAGCAGCAGTTACGCCGTTGAAGCGATGGCAGAGACAAACAAATGCTCTCGATTTTGATGCTCAATCTGTTGAAAAAGAGGTCGGGTCCTTGGCGCGACATTTGTCAAGCGCCCGCCTGTATGCGAAAAATTATGGTGGTGGGGGCCGCCGCAGAAAATTTCCTGCAGTGCAAGTTAGTGCGCAGTTATATTACTGGGTGGGGCAGCAGTCTTTCTACTGGCTGACCGACCGACGCCCTTTTCATGTTGGTTGGCATTGGTTGTTTGCCAGTGCATTATCCGACGCACCCATTTTCAATGCGTAATAACAACTGCGTTTCACGCCTCTCGCGATGTCGCAGCCATCAATTGCGCTGTTCCAGACGAATCAACGCACAATTCGGTCCCCGGTGCCCCCAGCACCAGCAGCACCAGACCAGCAGCGCCAGCAGCGCCAGCCGTGCGTGCATCAGCTAATTGATCTTGCTCTACGCGCCGAGAATCCAGACGATGGAAAAAAAAAGTAATTGAATCTACTGGTCTATTGAATGGATATTGTACAAAAATTCACAGAAAAGAAACAAGTATAGACAACCCGACATGATCAAAACAACGACCTCTTCCACCACGGCTTTTTCTTGGGTGCCGCTTCACCCTCTTCCTGCACGTCATGCTTGCCGACAATCGTCAAAAAGACTTCGTTTAGTGTTGTAGGGCTGACACTATGGTGCGCAACGCCCAGTCTTTCCTTGTTCTCTTCCAGGATGAGCAGCAGTTGTCCAATGGCGCTGCTGCCGTTGCCTCCGGCACTGGCACTCGAAACCTCAATCGACGACGCGGGGATTGAGAAGCGCATCTGTCCGTGAAAGGTCTCCTGTTCCATCTGCGCGCCCGGAAATGTCTCCATGACCCACGTCTGGATCTGCTGCATTTCCTCGTCGCTCGAATGCGGCGCCGTCTTGCTCACCATGTGCACGTGCAGCGAATCGCCAAACTTTTGGCACAGCTGCTCCGTGCCGCCGAGCGCCAGCATGCGCCGCGCCATAATGCCTGCCCGCGTGGCCAGAGTATCGGCTTCCTCCATGCTATGCGTCGTGAGCAGAATCGATCGGCCCGGGACAATGGCCTCGAGCGTCCGCCACATGATGCGCTTCGCCGCAGCATCAAGACCAGACGAAGGCTCGTCCAGAAGAATCACAGACGGATTGCCCGTAAGCGCAATAGCCAAGGACAGTTTGCGCTTGTTACCGCCGGAAAGTGTATGCGCCATGACACCAGTGTACGCCTCTAGGCCGACAGCGCGAATCACAGCCGTGACCTGGTGGTCCACGTCGGCGATGCCTCGAATGCGTGCGTAATGCTGCAGGTGCTCGACCACAGTCATGGAGTCAATAGCGTCGAATTGTGGACAGACTCCGAGATTGGCTCGCGCAGCAGGTCGATTCTTGGTGACGGATGCATTTTCCACAAAGACGTCACCGCCCATTCGGCTTGGAGCTACATCGCCACGAATGATGGATATCGTTGTCGATTTTCCTGCACCATTGGGACCAAGCAATGCAAACACTTCACCGTGGCCGACACCAAACGTGACATTGTCAACAGCAGTCATGTTTCCAAACGCCTTTGTCAGGTGCACCACGCGGAGGCCATCAGTCTCCTCGCCCGGCCCATCCACGCGAACCTCTTCCGCAGCAACCTCTGGATCCTCCGTATCATCGCTGTACTGCGGCTTTCCCGTCTTGTACTTGCCATCGGAGCTCTCAAAGTACACCACCATGCTGAACCAAAAGACGCATTGCACGATGAGATAGACGAGCGGGCCGCCATACGCCTTCATGGCAGCAGGGTTGCTCTGCAATGCGAAGCCGTCACACGTCGTAGAAAAGACATTGAGAGCCACCATGAGCGCACGCACCAGGGAGCCTGTCGGAAAGAAGATGGCAATGACCCAGTGACCGATCAGGACACTCTTTTCCGTCTCGGCTGGGTCGGAATAAAGCAGGATGAAAAAGTAGGCAATCAAATATACTGCAAAGCCCAGTCCCTGAATCACCGAGGCAATCGCATAAGTAGCCAGGGCACTCTTCATGATGAGCGACACAAAGTACGAAATTAGGATGGCCGCCAGAACGTAAAAGAGGAAAATGGGGAATAGAAAACCGACATTGTACCAAATGCTAGACGTTCCCGCAAAAATACCGGCGGCAATCAGCATGGAAACAGCCATGATGGACCAGTCAAAAATGGCATGGGCTGCCCAGACGGGGAATGCACGAGCACCGCTCGAATACTGTAGGGCACGTACCCCGTTGCGCTTCTCGGAATTTGGGTAGAGACCAAACAAACCCGGAATGACAGAGCATGCAAGCGCAAAGTACACAATGGCCTGCAGTCCGCTACCCGTAGATGGCGCTACAGCAATGTCAAAGGGCTTGTATTCGGTCGCGATTGTCTTGTTCAAGAGCAGACTATCGAGAAGGCTCTGGCCCAGCGTCGATGTGAACATGGATAGCCCATCATCCATCTTGTACGCCAAGGTAGCAGCCGAACCTGACTGGCCCAGCCAAAGGCCTGCTGGAGTCACGTTCTTTCTGTTATCTTCAATGTAGGACTTGAAAGAGTCAAAGGAATCGACAACCTTGATGCGGCTGCTGGCGCTGGCGGCAAGATTCGGAATGATGGGCTTGAACACATCTGCAATGGCGGAAGTACTAAACGTCGCAGATGGACCACCCACAATGAAGGGTACGCCGAGAAGATTTGTGAAATCCGTGTTCTCGTTGTCGCGGCTGCGCTCCCTGGGAGAACAGCCAGGAGCCGCCATGTTGTTGGTGAGCAGCTGGATGATTGCCGCTGCCACAATGGGAATCAAGAAGGCGGCGAGATACGGCACCCAGTTGGTCTTGAAGATGACGAAGCGTTTCCGCAAAAGTACAGGGATTTGCTGAAAGAGCCCGAGCTGGCGACCGCGCAAGAGCGGAAGCGGCTGAGCAGAGGGCGGCTTCTTTTCTGCATCGGGGCTCTGGCTGCGACTAATCTTGCTCTCTGGAGCACCATTCGGCATCACTGGGTCGCACATGCCGTGATCCTTGATCTCTTCGGCCAAGTTGAGAAAGACGTCTTCGATGGTAGGGCCGGAGAACTTGTACGGCACATTGCGGCCTTCGAGCATGCGAATGACGGAGGCGGCAAGGGTGGCAGAGGGCGCGACGTAGGTGATTGTATTGGTCGAAGTATACCGCTCAACACCGTCGACTTGGGCAGCGCGGCTCATCATGTGGCGGGCGTTGAGAACGTGCACGCGGTATCCGGAGCCAAAGGTATCCTTGAGCTGCACCGAAGAGCCCTCGGCGCGGAGCCTGCCCTTGGAAAGAATCGCAATATTGTCGGCGAGCAAATCAGCCTCGTCGAGGAAATGCGTAGTCATGATGATTGTGCGGCTACCGCGCTCGCGGAGGAGAATGTCCCAGATCTTGCGGCGCGACAGCGGATCGATACCAGAAGATACCTCGTCGACGCAGCAGACGCCGCTGTCGCCAATCAGCATCAGACCCAGCTGCAATTTGCGCTTTTGGCCGCCAGAGAGCGTCTTGGCCATGTCTTTCGTCTTCTTCTTCAGACCAATGGCGTGGATGAGGCTGTCTATCTGCTCTTGCGTTGCCGGGTTCGATGGTGTCTTGAGGTTGGAAAAGACGCGCAGATGCTCTTCGACAGTGAGCTCGCCCCAAAGGACATTTTTCTGCGGCGCAATGCCCAGACCGCCAGTTGTGTCAATGGCAATATCGCCGCTCGTAAAGTTGCTGATTCCCGCAATCGCATCGAGGGTCGTGCTCTTGCCGCTGCCATTGGCACCAAGCAGGGCCAAGATCTGGCCCTTTTTCGCCGTCAGCGTCAGCGAGTCCACGGCGACCACCTCGGGCCTCGGCGGCGACACAAACGCAAAAAGGCGTCGCAACAGGGTTGGCTTGTAGATTTTGGTCATGTTTCTGATTTGCACGGCATCTGACATGGCCGCCGAGCCGTTGTTGTTGTTGGTGGCCGGCGCCGCGTTTTGCCGCGTGCCGGTGGTGACGCCGTGCAGCGCGCGCTCGAGCAAGGCGGCGAGAATCGGGTAGACGATGATTTGCACGGCAAAAAACACCCACAGCACGATGCCGGGCAGCTTCCAGGGGCTGCTGGGATGGGCGCGCAGCAGGTCGGTGGGCAGCGCCTCCTGCTCGTAGCGCGCAACGTAGGTGATGAAGTAGACAAAGTTGCAGGGCGTAAATAGCAGGCTGAGGACGGCGACGGTGGCCGTGCCGGGACGCGGGACAGCCTGGGCGACGATGCCGAGGGCGAGCCAGACGAGGGCGGTGATGATGCCGGAGAGCTGGGCCTTTTTGAAGAAGCAGGCGCCGAGCAGCGACATGGACGTCATGGCGACGCCGGCGAGGACGAAGAAGGGAATGATGATGGCGTAGCTGACGTTTGTCCAGATGAGGATGCGGTTCACGACGGCGGCGACGATCCAGCCGGGCAGGTAGGTGATGATGAAGGCGTTGTGGTGGGAGAGGAGCCGGGCGAGCTGGCAGTGCCACTTGGCCCGGACGGGCATCATGGCGTCAATCAGCTGCGACATGCCAATCTCGCGCTCGGTGGCGATGAAGCCCGGCATGTGGTAGCAGACGCCGATGAGCGCCATGATGAAGGCGACGCTGAGAAAGTTGATAAAGGTCCTTTGGTACGCGCGACGCACCTTGGCCTCGCGCTCGTCCTCGGTGAGGGCCGAGTACGGATACTGCTGCGTCGCGTCGGGGAGCAGCAAACCAGACGACGACGACGACGACGACGACGACGATGATGATGATGACTCTTGGCGGGCAATGGCCGCGTCGACGGCGCGCTGCAGCGGTAGCGCGTAAATCTCGGCGGCATTGTCGCCGCTCTTGTCGACGCGAAACGAGCGGCCGAGCGCGCCGTCGCCGCGCAGCGTGTAGTTCCAGTAGCCGTCGGCGCCCTCGTCCGGGGAGGAGTGAATGACGACGGCGCCAAAGCACCTTGATGTCGCCCGGATCGAGCTCTGGCAGACGTAGCCAATGTCGGACTCGCGGCCGAGGCGGGTCGCGTTTCGGCCAGCCGACGTGACGGCCTCGGCGACGGAGTCGAGGACCCGGTCAATGGCGCCGCCCCTCGTGTGGTTGTTCCCCGCGTTGATGAGGACGACGGTGTCGCGGCCGCCGGTCGCGTGGGAGAGGGCGTCGGCGAGCGAGGTTATGGTTCGCGGGCTGCCGATGCCGTACTTGTCGTCGGCGTTTGTGAATTTCTGGCCGAGGCCGAGGTACAGCGAGGCAATGATGGGGAGGACGAGCGCCGAGTACAGTGTCGAGACAAAGTGGCGCTGAATGATGATTTTGAGCGTCTTGTTGCGCAGCGCGGATATCTGGCGATAGAGATCCATGATGGGCTGTGATGAAGCCCCTACAGGGCTATTTCGTAGAGTCGACTCAAAATAAGGCAAAATGGCGAAAATCGGGGGAGTTCAAACGTTAGTTGGGCGTAGGCAGAGTTATTGGAAGTGAGGCAATCACCAACACCAAATTGGGCAAGTAGACATGGATTAACATATACCAAACGCAATCGCAAAAGACTGGAAACGGGTCCAGGTTATACTTTATATAAAACGACGACGTCAACACAAAGCCCACATGCGCCCATCACCACCACCACCAGGGCGAACGAGGCTGAGCCTCACAGCAGCTCACTCCATTCTTCCCACCCAAGACCGCCAAGAACTTGCAGTCGAACGCCCAGCCAAAGCGCAGGACAAAGGTCTTGTCGTCGTACTAGCCGTATTCAGTGAAACGCAGCGCAACAATTGTCCCGGCGGTGACGTTTTACTGGGTCCGCGGCTGAGATCTGGGCAAAACTAGGCTGCTAGGATGCCAAAACGATGAATACGGTGTGGACCCCCCTTCTCCTCGTTCGCAGGAACCAATTACCGTTTCCCTTGGCGTTTAAGTGCGTTAGTGCTGACATTCTTATTCCTCGCATTTTTTTTTTTTTTAATTTTTCCTTTCTTCCAGTGTAGCTAGTCGACTAGTAAAGGGCAAAAAAGGGAGAGGTGCACGGTTTTGAACCAAAGGGGCTTGGCGTTGGTGTCGGGGGCGGTTAGTACCACCCCAAAGCCGCCGCTTCAGGCTCGCCCTGGCAGCTGGGCATGTAGGCGTCAAGTGGCTGTGTGTTTTGGGCGCGAGCTTGTCATTTTGTTTTTTAAAGCACGCGGACTTGTTCTGAAAAGGGTTTTAATTTTTACATATTTATATTCGCTTATATTTATATTGATTTATATCGAACTTTTTTTTTTTTTNTTTTTTTTTTTTTTTCGATAAACACAATGATCATTAATGTTGCCAAGAACTCAGCGCCACTATAACTGCTATATAAAATGGACTCATGAGGACTGGCCCCCCGTCCGATCTTGCTGTGTGTATGCAGATGATTTCAAATGGGGCGGGGGGGGAGGGGCACGAGGGGGTTGGTTCGAGGAAGCCTTTTTGCTTGTTACGGGCATAACCTTTTTTCAAAAGACTGATAACTTGTCTAAGCATATAGCTCATCTGGAGTCATTTGAGAATATTAATTTGTTTGGCACGCAGCCTTGATGGTATCAAGTTTCGAGCTGGTTGGTAGTCTTAATCTTGCAAAGTAGCCAGGGCCAACTTGTTGTGAACCGGTCAGCCTGTGTATACTACACAACCTCAACCATAATAGCAATACTTTTACTCTTATCAAGTCATAAATCGTCTCATTTAATCTGATTATCAAGCCCTCCTAATGGTAATGACGACAAGAATATTGACAAGAATACAAAATAAATTGACTAATCTTTGTTGTAGTGTCTTGTTACATCACGTTAGACTTTTGCATATATTATATACACATTTAATTCCTCTATACAGAATGACAATATACAGCAACCAACTCTAGAAACATCTTTATGAACAAGTAACTGCCAAAGCTGCAACCATGTAAATAATATCCTCAAAAAAAAAAAAAAAAAAACACAAAATGCCCATGTCATCAAACCATGTTTCAAACCCCAAGACCAACCCTCTTCCCTCACTGCGGCACAACTTCCCTTCCCACCTCGACCAAACCCCTAAAGATGCCATCCATTGTCCCGACCTGCGTCTGGCAATTCGCCACCACCCTAAAGAAGTGACCCCTCGGCCCCGGCGCATAGTCAAACATGAAGCCCCTCTTGACCATTTCTTCCGCCATGCTCCTCGTGCGCCGTGTATTCTCCCTCGCATCCTCTGCCATTTTCCCACCCGGCGCATAATAAAAACAAATCTGCAGGCACGGCGTCGGGTTCGCCGACACGAGCACAAAATCGGGCGACTTGTCCACCAGGTCCGCCAGGTGCGCCGCCATGGCAAACGCATGGTCGACGCCTCGTTCAAAGCCCGCCGCGCCGTAATACATCCACGCAAGCGCCAGCTTGAGGCTATCGGCGCGGCGACCGCACTGCATCGTCATGTCGGCCAGATCCCAGACCTCCTCACCGCCGCCCTCGGGATCGTGAAAGAGGTATCCCGCGCGGAGGCTATTGGCCTCGTGAAAGCGGCCGAGGTCGTTTGTCAGCAAAAACGAGCACGTCATGGGCACGTTGAGCATCTTTTGCGGGTTAATCGTCAGCGAGTCAGCCAGCTCCGTGCCGTCGAGCTTGTGCCGGTGCGTGCGCGAAAAGGCCACGGAGCCGCCCCAGGCGCCGTCCACATGCAGCCACATGCCGTACTCTTGGCACACCTGCTTGACGGCGCGAATCGGGTCATACACGCCCATGACCGTCGTCCCGGCCGTCGCATTTACATACAGCGGCGTGCCACCCCGTGCTTTCGCTTCCCGCACCAGCCGCCGCAGCGCCGTCACGCACATGCGGCCGTCCTGATCCGTCGGCACGCCGACGCAGCTCGCCGCGCCCATGCCGCACGCCACCGCCGCCTTTTCAATCGAGTAGTGGCTGGCCTCGCTCGTAAAGATGACGAACCGGTAGCCCTCGCTGCCATTCTCGCGCGTGTCCGGGTACAGCGCGTTGCGCGCAATCACCAGCGACGTCAGGTTCGACGAGCTGCCGCCCTGGCACGTCACGCCTCCCGCGCGGGGTCCCCTGAAGCCGAAATACGCCGCCAGCGCCCGGCCCGTTTCCTTTTCCACCACCGTCAGCGCGGGGCTCACGTGGTACACGTGCACATTGGTATTCAAGATCCCCAGCACCATTTCCGAGATGACGCCGACCGGGTTCGTGCTCGCCGTCAGCTTGTCCATCCAGCCCTGGTCCCAGGTGTTGACGCTGTACCGGAGCAGGTCCTGGATGGTGTCGATGAGCCCGGTCTTGCCTTTGCCTTCTCCTTGTGGCAGCGCAAAGCCCATGCGCTCGACGAGCGCCCGCGGCGGGAGCGGCGCCTCGAGGAGCACGTTGTAAGGGTGGCCGGCGGCATCGCGCGGCAGCCGGCCCGTGTGCTTCTTGGAGGCGTTGTCATCGGCGGACTTTACGTAGGGCACAATGAGGTCCCGCACCGCGGCGATCAGGTCGTCGAGCTCTTCGGCACGGCCCTGCGTTGTTTTGTTAGGCATGTGACCGTTGGGGGCCGCGTAGGGGAGACTGTCGGTCTCGCTGCCGTGGTCCGAGGCAGGCATTGTGTGTTTGTGTGCAAGTATGCGGGATAATCAGGAATTGAGTCGTAACAGATTTGTATCCAAAGCTTTATACTTTATTAGAAAATTTTCAGTGAATTAAAGTAGTCGTCTTATGAGACCGCCGCGTCGTAGAAGGAAGAAAAACTCTGCAGTCTTGGTGGTGGTGGTGGTCGAAACTGGTGAGATCAGAGTCTGACGAGAGAAGTGAGAGCAGACCATCGACTATTTGAAAGCACCATAAGCTCCCAAACTCGTGGCCCCAGGGCTTCCGGAAATCGATAATGGAACTTGGTCAACGCCTAGCCGTTCAATTCCGTACAAAACAACAGACTAGCCAATGATGAGTCTTTTTTTACTCTTTGTTCCCAATCTGTCTGGCTTCACTGCCGGCCGTCGTCCCAACTAGCACCAGCAACTGGCGCTATCTACTTGTGGGCATAGTTCGGTCCAGCGAAACAAAAAAAAGCGACAAGGTGAGATCTTACGAGTTTCCCAGTCACTAGTCAACGTTGGCCCCTATCTGCTTGTCTGCGTCAACGTAACGCTTTCCCATTCTGGCTTGTGTTGTGGAGGAACCTGTGAGCGTTATCATTGGCCGTTTTTGCTCTCTCTCTCGTCTTACAGACAGACGACTTATCGGCTCTCCAGGCCGCATGTGCATGTCTGAGGTGGTTTTTGTTTTCCCTATTTTTAATGCTGACAGTCAGAAAAGATGGTAGCCAATCACATGCTGTCGCATGCTTTCCAAGACCTCGTTTGAGGCTGTTGGGAGAGTCGCCATGCTCAACACCCATCACGTCGCCTTTTCTTTCCACACACGCCAACCCCTACGGGAATGGGCCACTCAATCCCGCACGATTTGGCGTATTTCCAGTACGGAATTTGATGTCTGATAATTAACAGCGACAAAGTCGTTGAATCACCAATTTACTGATTTCTCGGCTCAATTCATCTCGAAAAGGGCATGCTCACGTTGCTAGCCAAAACCCAACCAACCATGGCGGCCAAGAGACAAAGAGGCAAACAAGCCTCTCTCCACTCCCGCGCCTGTTAATGTGGCCCATCTGTCGATAACTGCAGCTAATTACCGAGTATAATATGCCTCAATTCGCTGCCTGCTAGGGCAAGCACACTTGGCCGATCGCCAGAACTTGTGTCAGACTGCATGCAGAAGGAAGCATATATACCGACTCCGGGCCCCCCAACTATACGGCCACCAGCGGCGTGACATTGACAAATCCAATCCTGTAGTTGGCTTTTCATTCTGGCCTCCTCTCGAGGCTTTCATTCTTTCATGATTAATAAGACCGATGCACCCGGACCCCCCCCCCAACGGCCCTGCATCCACTGACCAATACTTTCTCGCCTACGAGAACAAAGCCCCTCCTCCACCATCCCTTCCTTTTAATCGTTTTACTTCTCTCGTTTTTTGTTTAACAGAGCAGAAACCGCTGCATGCAACTTTGCACCGCTCTCGAAAAGAACTCCAAGAAAAAATAAAAATAAAATAAAAATAAAAATCCTCTGGTCCCCGGCAGTGCGGCACCGAGACCTACCTTAAGCAGGTGGAGAAGAGCAACCATCCCATCACCTCAGCGTCGCTTACGCACTATTCATTAACTACCAATGCAGTTCCAGGTGCTGCAACGTCAACACCCGGTGGTTTACTTTTTTTTCAGAGAGGTAAATGGAGCAAACATCGCTCTTACATCACGAGGATTGAGGTCTTCATCGACATGAGGATCAAATGTAAAGATGTGGAACAAAGAAAAAAGTTCAGCAGATTGTTGTCAAAATCTTGTCCAACTCCCTCGCACAATCTCATGTAAGACGATCCTCCCAAAATCTTACTCCTCATCCAAGGAGTTCAGAAAGCAATTACAACACTTCCATTCATTCTAGACGTTGCCGTTCCACCGTCGGCAACTTGTTTTGTCCCCGTGTGCTATAATTGGTAGTTAGCGGCTACCTATTTACGGTACGGTTTCTTCATTTTACTACCTTCACACATCGCGCTACCTTTTGGCCATCGCAATTCACGCATAGTGGGCCCAGTATACCATCGAAATTCTATTGCCTTCTACCTGTTATTCGACATACTTGAGCGGTAAGAAAAGAAGCTCTAGAATCGAATATTTCTCCTTCTCCATCTCGCCAAATCGACATTCAAAATTACTTTGCAGTAGTATAAAAAAAAAAAAGGTAAATATCAACAAGATGTCACGCCTTCTGTCCTGACATCAAGTGTCTGGCTAGAAAGCTGTAAAAATATTAATTTCATTTCCAGTCCAGCTGCAAGTGCCTGCCACTGAAAAGAAATAAAAAGGGTGAAAAAGAAAATATATCCAAAATATTAAAGCCACTGATCAATGAATGACGTCAAAATATCAAAATCGCTTTCAACATTGCCAGACATAATAGCCATGTGCAGAGGCTCGGATATAAATCCTCACCAAGGAGAGAGCCGAGACGGCGGCATGCACGGCTCTCTCCAGGGGTATCGAAGTCTCAAAGTAAAGTAAAAATGAACGTCGTGGAGATGTTGGTGCGCCAGGGGAACGGGGGTCTTTGTACGGGATTGCCCCTTAGCGCGTAGTGGTGGTTTTGTGCACGCCAGCCTCATCAACGCCTTAGTTCCACCCCAGAGAATTCTCCGTCGCAACGGGGGCGGAAATGTTGGCGGTGCGAGCAGAGCCCATGCTGTTTTGGCTCTGGCCGCCGTACGTGCCGCGATTGTTGGGGCTGAGGAGAGCACCGCCCATCAGAGCAGGACTGCCGTTGCCGGCATACTGCATCTGATCCGACCGACCAGCCGAGGTAATAGAGCTGGAGCGACGGTGGCCCTGACGCTTGCGCTTGTAGCGGCGGGCAACAATGAACATGGCGGCGCCGACCATGGCACTACCACCTACGGCCCCCATGAAAATACCCACCAAGGTAGCGCGCTGCTTGCCAGACTGGCTCGACTGATCGTTGCCGGATCCACCAAGGGCATCGTTGTTGTTGTTGGAGCCAGTGTTGCCGCCCTTGGCAGCATCATCGTCATTGTTGCCAAGAAGGCCAATTTTGGGTTCAATTTGAGCAGTCAAATTTCTCATCAGCTCATCGGGCATGGTGTAGAGCTTCGAGTTGGGAACCCAGATGCTGGCATTGAGCAAAGGAACCAAAGTCTCGGGAAAGTACATCTTGGCGATCGTGGTAATAAAGCCCGCAGTTGCGCGAGTGTCGTAAGGAACAAGCGACGTAACTTGGCCCCTGCTCAAGTCATAAAGGTCGCTGGCATTAGCGCAAGCCGGAAGAAGCGTCCCGCAGATAATACCAGAAGCGTTACGATTACTGGCCACGAAGTTGTAGTTGAGCGGGTACTTGAAGCCGATCTGGATCAGTTTGCTACCCTTGGGAGCAGGATTATTGCCATTCGGGCATATAATGACGTCGGGTAGGTCGGTGGGCAGCGGCGCAGTGGTAGTAGCAGACTGAGTAGTGGTCGGGGGGGTGAAGCTGAAGCTGCTCGACTCGATAACGATCGTGGTTGGCAACCAGTTATTAGTACCAGGGCCGGTGGTGACGATTGCGATGCTCGTGACGCGAGGAGGGGTGACAGTCGAGGTCGAGAGAATAGTCGTCTCGACGGGAGTGGAAATGACAGTGGTCTCGACAGGGGTAGTCTGGACAGAGGTGGTCTCGACAGGGTTGGTCTCGGTAGCGGTGCTGGTCGACTTGAGCGACGTGGTGGTGGCAGGCTCAGTAGAGTTGCTAGACACGGACGAGGTGATGACACCAATATCGGTTGAGGTAGGCGGCGTGGCCGAGGTGAGAGTAGTCGTGGTCGCAGTCTCAGTGCTGTGGACAGAGTCGGTAGGAGTCAGCGTGGGGGTGAGCGTAGGAGTGAGCGTGGGGCTCAGGACGCTCGTCGTCTCGCCGCCAGTGGTGGTCGCGTTGCCGCCAGGAACAGTAGGCGAGGTCAGAGTCGGCAAGATTGTAGTCGGCAAGATCGTAGTTGGCAAGATCGTAGTGTCGGTAGGGCTGCCAGAGGTTGGAGTCACAACACCGGTGGTCCGAGTCGTAGCACTGGTGGTCTCAGTCGTCGAAATGATAGGAACAGGGCTCGTCCCGGTCTGGCTCGTCTCGGTTTTAGTCTCGGTCGAGGTAGAATTGGTAGATTCCGCGGGACCAGGCAGGACCGAGCTGACGACCGAGGTCAGGATCGGGATGATGCCGGAGCTGGTGGGCAATTCCGTCGTCTTGATGCTTGTCTCGGGGGTGGTGCTGTTGACAACCTCGGTGGAAGTCTCGGGCGACGCAGTGGTGACGGGAGCCGTACCATCGGGGATAGTAGGCAATGAGGACGAAGCAGACGACGGCGTAGGAGCAGATGACGGGGCATCAGACGACGGCAAGGTAACAGGCGACGAAGAACTGACAGGTAACTCTGTGGTGGCAGTAGAGGAGCCCAGAGGAGAGCTGATCTCGGGCTCAAGAGTAGTAGTGTTGGTAGACGAAGCCGGAGGGAGGATGCCACCAATGACGGACGTGACAGGGTCCAGGATGCCACCGCCAGTGGTGGTAGCGGCCGTCTGCTGCGACGTCTCACTGGGAGTCTCCTTGAGAGTGCTGGAAGGCTCGGTAGTAGTAGAGGACTTGGAGATGTTTGTCTCGGGAATGGTCGTCTCAGGAGTGGTGGTCTCGCGCGTGGTAGTCTCGGGGGTGGTGGGTTTGGGGCCGTTTGGCGACTGTGGAATAGTTGACTGTGAAGTTGTAGACAACTTCGGGCTTGAGGCAGACTCGGGAATGCTGGAAGGTCCGGGAGTGCTAGAAGACTCGGGCTTGGTTGGCGGGAGGCTGGTGCTTACAGTCGACGCAGAGGACGAGGAGGGAAAGATGACGCCACTAGGGCCCACGAGAATGCCGGAGCGAGTGGTCGAGGGCCGAGGACGAACAGTGCGGGTGGACGAGGTGGTCGGCTGGGGCTGCGGGTTGGGGTTGGGGTTCGGAGCACCTGTGCCACCGGGGGGCACAACGACGGTCTGGTCAACAATGACGGTGGTGGTGGGAGTGTCCTGACTCTTCTGGTTGGGGTTGAAGAGGTTGGAAATGTCGCCAAAGTCGCCATTGGTGTTGGTGTTGCCGTCGCCATTGCCATTGCCATTGCCATTGTTGAGGCCGATACCGTTCATGACGGAGCTGACAAAGTCGCGCTTCATTTCTACATTGTCGTCGGTGTCGGCATCATCATCGAAATCGACCTGTGCGTAGATATCCTTTTTGGCACGCTGAGGATAGAAGATGCGGGGGCGGTCAGCTTCAGCAACGGCAGAAGTAGCCAGAGCCAAAGTGGCGGCGAAGAAGAGAGCAGTTCTGGAGGGCATCTTGAAGGCGGTCGAGTCGTCGGTTCAAAATTGTCGCGAAAAGAGGGTAACGATGGATATCTTGGCGGTTTAGTTAATCGGTTCAGAAACAGGAATTGTAGCCAGAGCAGCTTACGGTCAGGATATTCTAGTAGCGAATGTACGTGACGATTGTCAAAGAGCGCAAGTCTGAGAAAGTTAGTATACTGTTGACTGCGTTGTTTCCAGCCACACCATAGTCAAAGAAGCAATGGGGTATGCGTCGCGCTACCAGCAGCGATATAGAGACGAAGAAATGCGACGGCCCAGAGATTCATGGCTGCCGCTGTTGTCGTCTTTGGACCATTGGTGGCAGTCGAACTCAAGGAAACGCGAGATTTGTCGGGGATAGCGCGGGCGACTCACATATAATCGAGCAAAGCGATATGTGCAGGTTAGATCAAAGGAGTGACGGAACGAATAAATCGTCGACCAAAAGAATCCAAATCGCAAAGCAAGCCGCAAAAAAAACAAGTCGGTAAAGAGTGTAACGGCACGCGCGCGTGTCTAGTCGTCGAGGAAGAGTTATTAGGCGACGAGAAGCATCAGTCGGGTGAGGCGTCGTTATCTGCAAGTCTGGGAAGGATTACGCAGACATGGGCCAGACTTGAATTGAGGCGGCGAGGCAGGTAAGAGGAAAAGAATCGGGTAGCCGCGCAAGTCGAAGAACTGGCGACGAGAAAACCCGAATCTACTCTCTTGTAACGATTGTCGTGGTTGGCGATGAGAGGTGGGGGGAGGAAAGGTGAAGAAGGGAGAGAAAGGAGGAGGGGAGTGGCACAAGAAAAGAGAGGCGAGAGAATGGAGCCGACGAATGAGATGCTGCCAACAGCGGAGGGTGCATTCCAGGTAAGGAAAACGCTGCCAACAGTGGAGGGAGCACAGATCAGGTACCTAGGTAGGTAAGCAAGTACTGTAGGCAGGCATCAGGCAAGGAGGGCAAGGTGGAGGGGACAGGTACGATAGGGCAAGTCGGCAACACAATATACCAAGGTTGCAGGGCGTCAGGGGAGCCAAAATAAAAAGAGGAACAATGTTTATTACTCCTTACAGAGTGCTCCGTACCCGTCCCGTAAAGTAGCTAGGTAGACAGAAGCCACACCTACTGGTAGGCTGTAGCACGATGGCACGTCCATAGGAAGACGGTCGGGGCGGATGGTGGGCTAGGCGTTGAATTTGGCTTTGAACTACCGTTATGATAAGGTAGCGACCAGCGAAGCCATTTACTCGGATATACATGGCTACTCCACCATAACCCGAGGTATCCTCAAGTACCTAAAGGAAATTACCACCTACAACCACTAGCAAATCAGTGCTGCAGCTCGTCGAAAGCACCTGCCAAGGGGTCCGGGGACGCCATTTCTGGGGCCGTCAAGGCGACCGGGGGGGCCAAGCACCACTGCACCAGTCAGTGCTTGGAATGATAGGACGTGGCCGCCACTGGGAGAAAGAAAAAAAGAAGAAGAAAAATCACGGCATTTAGGCAGTGCCAGGATACAATCAATTCTAGTGCAAGTTGCAACAGCAATGTCACCATTGCGCACTGTAGTTGCATCTCATCTTTCCAGAGTAAAGTATCGTGTTTATTGCTGCCTTCACGCGTAATTCCCACTATCAGTGCAACGGCAGAAGGCTTTCGCCAGTCGACCCTGGCTAACCCATCTGCAGTCAGCGCCTGCCAAGGTACATCGCCCAGCCACCATTCCACCACCGACTTCCAAGTACATATGGGGCCCGGCCAGCAGGGCGTTCAGTGGACCTGCGGCGCCCCCTGACGGGAAATTGCGCCACGCTAGCTCAGGCACACGCCCAAGTTTGGTTCCACCAAGGAAGAACAAAGACACATTCATATGAATGTGCTGTCATCTTTTTTTTCTCGTTTCTATACGAAGCATCGCTGATGTATAATAATCTGGATTTCGCAAACGCCATATACATTGATTCAGGAATTACCCGCACCGGAGCAATACTCGCTTAGATTCATGCCATAGAGATTTTTATGCCCGCAGCGGGGCTACCACACGGCATGAGCACGAGCACATGTATATTGTACTTGTACCCGACGCCAGGCCATCGTGTACTTGCACCTTTTGCGTATGTGTGCCATGTACACTCTACCTGGGCCACGTCAGGGGCAGTTGGCATGGCATCGCATCCTCATTGGTCTAGCAAAAGCCACACCTTGGCCCTGCCCTCTGGTGCGGCAGCTAACGCACCGCTAATGCACCCATCCAGGGTCGCTGCCAGAGAGAAAGCACCACTGCTGCCAGCGGTCCAGCACTCCTCCGTCCGAGTTGACGACGTTACGGCCAGGCTTACCTGAAATCGAGCAAATGGTTTCTCCCCGGTTATTATCAGAACAAACTGTTGTTTCTTGAATGCCTGTATTGACCAGCTGCTTATTATAGTTTCTTATTGACTGATGATGTCAATAATAGTCACTTTCTGTTTGTTTCAATATTGCCTCCGCCACACCGGTTGGCTGTACGCCCTGCCCCGTGCCAGCTGGCAACTGCCGTTTGCTACCCCCGCCAGCTGTATTGTACGGATACATATGCATTCAAACAAACCACCCAAATTATTCCGTAGTTTTCTTCATCACCATTTACGACTCGGCCGCTTCAGCACGAACATTTTTTTCTCCATCTAGCACACAATTCGATTGCCGCGCTTTCCTTTCCATCAGGCTCCACGCGGTTCTCCCACAATCTTGGAATGTCGCAAAGCCACTGTCTCTCCTCGCCTCAGCCCCTCCACTCTAAGTTACCAGCCCGTTTGGCAATTGCATTCTCGCCGCCTAAAAAAAGCTCTCGCGTCATCCTGTATCCAGTATGGCTTGCACCGCGCCATTCGAAAAGTCCCTTTGCACCGTGGTCCCGCTCATCCACAGCTAACTAAAACTACCTACGGAGTGCCGGTCAGTGGTCAGTGGTCTGTGGTCTGCGGTCTGCGGTCAGTAGTCAGTGTGTCCTGGTGCCTGCGCCGGTTCTTCATGCTTTCTAGCAGCATCCGCGCCTTATTTTCTGCGCCGCCAGAAAAGCTTTTGCTCTCTTATTTTGTTCCAGCTGCTGTCCACCCCAACACCTGCCGTATGGATTCTTCCGCACAGAATCCACGCACGTATATCCGTCCTCCGTGCAGACTTCTCATTCCACCCTGGACCCTGGCATGAGCCAACCTCGAATTGACCCTCATTCCGTCCATCGATAGGGGTCAGAAGTTGCAGCTTGCCCTTGTTGCCTTGGCTTCAGGCGACTACCACGCTTCAGGTTTGCGATCCCCTTGGCTGCTCCAATCAAGCCGGCATTCGGGTCACGTCGCCGCCATGGCCCCGCGCCTGCACCCACAGAGTCCAGACCTTTCGCATTGACGATCACCAGGATCCCTGCCTGTCGTCGCCAGCAAGACTATTCCCACTTCAGACACGCAAGCCTTCTTTGACCTGTCGTGTCTGTGTAGCTCCTTATTGCCCGCCCCCATGCTCATCAGGTTCACCGTTCCGAGCGAACAAAAAAGCAAAAATGGGCTAAACACTGAGACATCAATCTATTTCGATATTTTGCGGCAATTCTCTCAAGAATCATCCTCGCTAGATGGCGGAAAGAATGAACCCCTCGCTCCGTGTTTCAGATTTCCGCGCCGCGCTCTGGAATGCTCGCCTCGGCAAGCTGTCTCTTCATTGCCACGCGGGGCTGCATTGGCGACCAAGAAAACTCGTTTATGCGTGAAACGCCATGTAAATCCATCATGTGATATTACGCATGTCACTCATCAGCCTCGCCACCCATGCGGCCTCACTCAACTACCCAGCATGCCGCGCCCCAGTCCCGGTGTGTTGGGTTAGCACGCCGCAAGAATCGAATCAGCTTACCATCTTGTCGGTACTACCAGAAATTGTGTCCAATAGTCTGTCTGATCATTGCTTTCCAATGCAGAAGCTGCGCTCTCACCTAGCGCACGGCCCCGTCTGAACATATCTGCAGTGCTGCACTCTCTCAGCAGTGCCAGCACCAGCAGCGTTTCATTGTTCAAATCAAATTGGCAAAGTCTATGTTCCACTTCGTCCGGGTTTTGCCAACACCTGTCAGACTAGCAAAACTCTGCTTTTCCTTGCAGACTGGCAATCAAATACTTCGTACTGCATCCATCGTCGGATCAAGGAAACCATCTATGTACTCCGCGAAATGTTCGTGGCAGTAAGCGAGATTCGATGCACATTGACAACGGACGAGCCAAAGGCAGGCCATAACCGGAGCATAAAACAATTGAGCTCCATGTGGAGATTGTTTGCTCAGCTCATCGCTCGTTTTGAAGTTAATGCTACCTGCATTGCCTTGTGCGTGTGTGGCTTAGATGAATGGTGCTCTGCAGTGCTACATGTTCAAAAGTTCAAACCAGTGTTACTAACCAGACAGGAACGGTGTGAATAGTCCAACACAGATCTTCACAACGTTAAATTAACTGCTTAGGATTCCAGCCAATCAAAGAGGATACAGATGATGAAGACTTTTCAAGCCATGTCAGTTCAGCCGTGGATAAACTTCGTTATACTGAGCGCACCACCCACCCTATACCGTCACCCCGAACGCGCTTTCAGGCGGTTTCAGACGATTTCAGGCAAAAACTAAGAGCGCCTCCTCCCGTGGCAGCTGCGTTAGAAGCGTACAAGAATTGTCTGCTACCCTGAACTTTGCAATGCGCCCTGCATTCGGTGGCCAGATTATAAGTATTTACAGAAGTATATTGTCGAGTGCTGTGTGAAGCCACGCACCAGCTCGACGACGGTCGCGATTTCTTGCATGCAAGCGCTACGCAATAAGAAACGAGAAATTTAAGTACGATGAGAAGAGACTACATTACGAAGAGAGGAGAAGTACTAGGAGCCGTAGTTTTCAGCTTATGCGGCAATGTGCGTCAAATCATCCCGTGGCCATCTAGAGCCGCAGCGTTACATGAGCGCTGCGGCAAAATAATAACCAAAGTCTTGCTTACAGCGAGAAATGGCACCCGCGCGCGCACGCACGTTTCCTTTTCTGTCTGTTAAGCAAGCCGAGGCCAAACGGAGGCTGCTCGGACACCCTCTCAAACAGGACCCAAGTTTGGCCTCATCTTTCTTCTTTCTTTTTAACAGATCCCGGCACAAGGTGGGCTTGTTTCACTGACGCATACGATAGAGAAAAAATCAAGAAAATTACTGAAACACTGAAACGCAGCTCAGATGCAGCATCCTCACATTTTTCACTCTTTTGACTGTGTAATGGATAAACTCGGATCTGACAATTCTTACTGATTCGATGGGGAAAGCTGCAGGCTGCAATCAACCCGGCGGCATATTACAACTTCCAAGACTGAGAAAGGAGAAAAATCATCAGTACGGTTTTTCATAGACTGCAAAAGAGAAAGCCGAAGAAATTTTCATCCCATTTTGCTCTGGCCCGTGTTTGGTCTCTGCTTCCTCGTATGGAGGACTGGACATCATGGCGCATGCCGATACAGCACACACGACGACCGACAGACGGCGGGACGGCCCAAGCGCGGCCCAAGCGCAATGCCCAAACACTCTCACCGCAAAGCAAAGCATGTCACTCAGTGGGTTTTCAGAAAGTGGCCTCTTTCGCAAATACTTGCACGTGGCAAATAAAGAGCGCATGTTGGCCTCTATTCCAAATCAAAAGTCTCGGAGAATTCCTTTCGTCGCGGAGAGAATTACCCCGACGACGATGTATTAAAGAGAGATGCTAAGCGGACCGATTCACTTTACTTGGCAGACCGACTCTCTCAGAGAGGTACTTGGCTTGTACAGCGCCTTACACTATAGCCTATATACCTGTCAGCGCCATCATCACCATAACACGCACAAAAAGAGCTAAAAGGTTCTCATCGCACTAATCTTAGCTAGAATACTATAAGAAAAAAAGGCTACTTTAATTAATGAATAATGTAGCTATTAGTTTTTTTCTCTAATCTTCTACCTTTATTATAGCTATAATGGCCTAAATACGCTGACTGTAGTGTGAGGAGGCACGCTGGCAGGTACAAAGCACTTAGTGTAAAACTCTGCAACGGGCAGGTGCCTCCCCAGGAGAGTCGGTCCGCGAAGGAATAATGTGAGTCGGTCCGCTTAGCATATCTCGTATTGAATGACCTTGGTGATGGTGCGTCTGGCCACTCGTCTCACGAGTAAAGTGTATTGATAACAGTAAGAGACTTGTTGCGCGAGCTACGGAATCGAGGGTGGTCTCTGTACCAGCGCGCAGTATCCTCGATAACATTTGCTACACACTGCCATGGGGTTTGTCAAGTCAAGGCCATACTCTCTACCCTGGAACTGCACTATTGTAGTAGTGGTATTTCGTAGCCGGATCAACAGTCATACATGGTGATTGGTAGACCTGCGTATACACCGGCATCATACACTGTCTGCAGCATGGGTATCAGGGCTCAGGGTACAAGATCTTGATGTTGAGACTGGGCTGGATGGCGCACTTCGTGCGGCTGCCTATGATCTTGTGTCTGAGAACTGAGCACTGAGTTAATCGAGCGCTGATATCTGCTGGTGAATCAAGCCCTTTCAATTCATTATCGTAGGGTAGCTCGTGATGCGAGCTCGTGATGCGAGCTCGTTGTACTCCTCTTTTCTCATGCTTGTTTTACACATTCGGACATTTGTACTACTACATCAGTACTATATGATTTCTAAAACTGACTCAGGTTCACCAAGTATAGACTCTTTTTATTTGGTGCATACAACGACGATGCATGCTCCATTTCACATGCAGAATCGACATGCCGTTGACATAACCAACTCCCTGCGCAAAGGAAACATGTGAGGTATCGTCTCTATTATCGTGATTATGTTCGAGTGAAAGACAGCGCGGGGCTGCCTTTGGCATTAAGACAAGTAGAACCTGGACGCTGCCGCCTGCCTTATATCAATCTGCATGGCGTTCACACCCACGCAGGTCCAGCAAACGTTGTGCATGGAAGCTGGTGCTGCGACAACGACACCCTAGTGACCAGAACGCTCTGTTACTGGGCAGAGACCGGGGTAGAAATCCTCATGATGACGGGGAAGTTGAAAAAGGTTGGTCTTGAGGCGGTCCTGCAGTCAAAGGAGGGTCGCGGTGCAGGAAGTGTTGTCAAGATGGCAGATGAGATTGAACCATGTACGAGTCGAGATCAATATGTCGATATAGCTCGCCCAAGTGCCAAACGTCTTAATGATGTAGAAATTGACGTGGAGCTTCCAACCAGTGCACATCACCCGCGCCGTCGCCAACGGCAGTGCCGCCACCAAGAGCACGCCCGCCCGCCCACACCTGCGCCGCCAGACAATTCCCATCTCACGGGCAATCAGTGCGCCCAGAGACGATGGGCCCGTCAGCGGGTTGAGGCTCCTGACCGATGGTACCGTGCCGACGTGGGTGCCAATCTCGTCGAGGTTCGTCTGTGAGATGAGGGAACCTTTGCCAGCAAAGAGGCCTATGGTAGCGGTAGACGTCTGTCGTCTGTACAGCGGGTTATTCGAGCCCACGAAGTGTCGAGACCTTCATGTGTCTTCGCCCAAGTCTGCCAATCAGCAGTGTCCAGACATATCCGGTGACCTCCATCTCTGTGGCTCAGTGGTGTTTCTCAACGTCCGACAACGTGCGAGACAAGTACGAAACCGACTGTCAGGCCGCATTCTGTAAGTACCATACCACCTTTTCGTCGTTCATCATCTTTTACAGTGCCGAGTCCAGGACGTGGCAGACCATCGAGCCAATGCCGTCTGCGGACGCATCAAAGTCGAAGAAGAGCAGCCAGTGACTTGGGACACGTTACTTTAGGACATTGCTTAGGGCTCCAATATATAAGACATGCGGATAAAAGACATGGAAATGGGAAAGGTTATTTACTTCGGAAATGATCTATTATAACGAATAACGATTTACTATGGGACCGGGACATCATAACGATTGGCTATGGGACAAGGACCTTATCTATATGTAGCCAGCGAGGACACTGGCAAAGAGACGACGGCACCTGTCACGGGTTATATCATAGTAGACGACCAGCTGAGAGCAGATGGTCAAATTCTGCAGGCTCAGCAGCGCGTTAGGAGCCCGCAGACGGAGACACACGGCACAAGGCAGTCCCAGGAGCGGTCGGCGAGGCGGCCGCATCGCGCCTGGATGGGAATGCCGGCGGCGTTGGCGGTAATGAGGTGGCTGACCACGGTGAATAGCTAAAGGCGCAGCTCTTAGACGGTGTAGGCTTGGTTATGAAGAGCTCAGTGCCGGTGGCTTAGATATGTTGTGATGTATGTGTTGGTCAGGACGGACTCACGTAGAAAGATGCAAAGCCAGAGGCAGAGTAGGCGTATCAATGCAAGGAGAAAAGCTCACAAGGCAAAGAGCATCCAAGGTAAAAAGCATGTATCAGGGCTCTTTAAATGCATTCAATTGCTAAGAGGCCCGGACTTGCGAGGCGGAAGCCGAGTTTGAAGCAGAGGGAAAATGATAAATCGTGGTGGCAAGTAATGCAAAACGGATCGATCGGACAGTCCAGACAAAGTATTAGAAGTTATGAGCACAGATTTGTCATATGAACCAGAGGAACTGACGGATACTTATCTACTTATGCCATCAAAGGCTTACCATGGCCGGGATCTTATATGCCCCCCCGTACTCGTCCTCGTCGCCACTGCCGTAAGCGCCAGCATGCGGCGCTTTACAAGATACGTCTCAATAAGCGGCAGGCTCAACAGCCACACGATTTTCGGGTCGATGCTGATGTACACGTCTGCGCGAGCAGTATCTGCGAGTAATTCTTGGGGGCGATGCCAGTGAAAAAGGTGTCGGTGTAAGTCGACGCGCTGCGAGAGCGATGATGCACCGCAAGAGCAATGACTTGTGAGGCCATTGCGGCACTGGTAAGCATATTTGAGGACAGAAAATGGATATAGAAGGCGAATTCAGAGATAGTTGACCGCACATGGCCATGACTGGGGTTTGTACGGCGTGGTGCAGATAAGACTAGGGAATTGTGTGTTGAAAAGGCGCATTCTCAGAAACCGACGATGGCCATTATTCCCAACCCGCGTCGCTTATGAAAACGAATACAAAGCTGGAAACTTGCGATATGTATCTTGCCCATCACACTTGATTGGGTTTGACCGACCTTGCAAGTCTCTACTACAGTGTCAATGTCTAAAAATAGCGTGCTCCAGCGTGCATGCAGGGTCCAGGTAGGTAGGTAATCTTGGGCACCGTTCCGTAAAGCGAGGCTTCCATCAAGTAAGAATATGTCAAGAATTCTGATCCAGACTTGCAGAAATGCATCTGCCTTCCATCAAGTCGACCTCCTTCCCTCTATTCATTACCTGATCGTTGGTATGCTGGGCCACAGACCGATCTGTGCAGCGCTAGGGGCCCACCTTGTCTCCCTTTGCTCCGCAGTGGCGGCGCCGCAATGCTCATGAATCATGATGGTGCCATCTGTTCTCGAAACATTATCCGTGATCCCAGAACAGCCACCTCACACTTTTGCACCACCATCGCCTTCTTGCTCATTTCCCCATCACGCTGGTCGAGATGGCACGTCGCCAGCACCTGACGGTATCACTTCTCCTCATCGTCTTCCTGTTTCTCAGCGTATCATATTTCTTTACCTCTGCGCCGGTACGCGATCGCGCCGCTTCGTTTGTCGGCGCCGGCAATCCTCTAAAACAGCAGCCGCCGCCGGCGTCGACCCACGGCGACAGCGGCCATGATGCGGTGTCGCCCATCAAGGACGGCGCCGCGCCGTCTGCGACACCGTCGGCGGGCGGCTTTAGCATAGACGTCGACTCGATGCCGTCGCTCGACGATCTCTCGATAGCGCCCAAGCTAGAGAATGCGACACTAAAGTACGTACAAATGGCTCTTTGGACCCTCTTCCCCTTCGTGCAACCAGCTTTAACTGACATCCATCCCCGCAGAGCCGAGCTTGGACGCGCGACGTGGCGGTTCCTGCACACCATGGCTGCCCGCTTCCCCGACAAGCCGACCAAGGACGAGCAGACGACATTCAAGTCGTTTATAGAGCTGTTTGCGCGTTTGTACCCGTGCGGCGACTGCGCGCAGCACTTTCGCCGTATCCTCGCCAAGTACCCGCCACAGGCCGGCTCGCGTAGCGCGGCCGCCGGCTGGCTCTGCTTCGCACACAACCTCGTCAACGAGCGTCTTGAGAAGCCGGCTTTTGATTGCAACGCCATTGGCGACTTTTACGACTGCGGCTGCGCCGAAGACGACGACAAGAAGGGCAAGGAGAGTAAAGAGGAGGGCGACGATACGGCCGCCGGGGAAAAGAAGGAGGACAAGAAGGATGAGAAGAAAGAGTAACGCATCGTCTTTCTCACAGTGGATGAAACAAAATTGTACACTTTAGGCGCCATCATTTTTTTGTCTTTTGGATAACAGCAAAGCGACGTTATGAATCACCGAGTATGCAAATCTATAGTACACATACTCAAGCATCAATATACCTTTCAATTTGCCATGAATCCCATCAAATGTAATGATTATTGGCCGATTAATGCTAAAATATGAAAAAGAAAAGGCAGACAATTGAATGAAGACATGAGAGAATTGCTTCGGCCTTTGCTGTTGGCTGTACTACGGCTGGAGAGATACACGTGATATTTCACGTGACTTCACCAGGTAGCTCTGACGACGTCGCGGCTGCGCGTCCGAAGCTGCCTGAGCTAGGCTGAGAGCTCCGACCCATTCGACTGGCAGCATCGCTCACATCACAATTGAGACAACGACGAATCCGAGTGTGCTCTCTCATATTGAATCAAAAACCCAGACCCTCACATCGACATTATATATACCGACACTATGGAGTTTGGCCACAAGGGAGTGCTGTCCGAGGGTTCGTTTGCCGTGATCGGCCGCCATCCGTTATCACACAGCTAACAGTCGCGCAGATGGCATCCACGTCGATATGGAGCACCTGAAGAAGGGCGAGGTCAAGTGAGTTTGCGCATGCGACGATAAAACCTGTGGTTGAAGCTAATCTGTCGTAGCCTGGGTACCTCGATGTACGTATCGGTCACGAACTGGGGCATCGCTGGCTGGATGCTAACGGGAGGATAGTATGGCGGTTACATTCAAGGATGGAGTTATTCTCGGTATGCGCAGCAATGGCTCCTGGCGAGCAGAGGGAACAGCTTAGCTAACGATTGAACAGGCGCTGACTCAAGAACTACGACGGGCGCGTACATTGCCAACCGAGTGACGGATAAGCTTACTAGAGTACACGACACCATCTGGTGCTGCCGGTCGGGCTCGGCAGCCGATACACAGGCAGTCGCGGACATTGTGCAATACCAGCTGGGCATGTTTGCGATGCAGAGCGGCAAACCGCCGATGACGCAAACCGCGGCGTCCATTTTCCAAGAACTCTGCTACGCCAACAAGGACCGTCTATCGTAAGTCGAGATTGAGCTGCGACCGCACTTGAAACAGAGTAGGAGCAGTACTGACAAATTGAACAGAGCTGGCTTGATCATTGCAGGCTGGGACGAGCGGTTCGGCGGCCAAGTCTACTCGATCCCGCTGGGCGGATCGCTGCACAAGCAAGCATACGCGATTGGCGGGTCGGGATCGACGTACATCTACGGTTACTGCGACGCCAACTGGAAAGAGGGCATGGAGGAGGCTGAGGCGGTCAGCTTTGTCAAGGGTGCGCTGCGCGAGGCCATCAAGTGGGATGGCAGCTCGGGCGGCGTGATTCGCATGGTGGTGCTGACGGCCAAGGGCGCGGACCGCCACCTGTACCTGCCCGACACGGACTATACTGTGCGTCACGACTAAATGATATGAGGGGGCGGGATCGGCCGAGAAGCGCGTAGGAGTGGACTTGTGCATGTGTGGTGAAGTGGGATAATGGATAGCACAAATGCCTATGACGTTGGAAGAAGGGTAAGTCATATGGCTGGTCATCTGTTGATGTGCCGCCTCATGCAAATGAGAAAGAGCTACGGGACGGCCCGAGCATCGTGTTATGCGCGATGCCTGCGGAGAAGATGCTGGTCCAGTACGCTTGAAATAGAGATGTAGATGGCATGGGGTAAACAAGGCTCCATTGTAAGACAGTATGTCTACTTAACAAGGAGAATCTTGTAGCTATGCGTTATTTCTTGTGCTTGACCTGCGTGTCTGGTTCGGGACGTGTGTCCGCGAGTGGCCACGAGGGCCACACAGCTTAAGAGGCGTTTTTAAAGACGCATACAAGATGTGTTGGTGGATGAGCATTGTATGACCTGTAATCAATGTGTCCGTATTGTGGCTGCGGTCTGATGCAGGCGGTTGTAGTAGTTAAGTAATTTAGATAGCATCCGGCAGAGTGGCGGACGGCGGATGGGATATGAATGGCGTGCGCCGCAGCCGCTTGACCGATGGCTTGGATGCCCAGGAGCCTGGTCGCAGATGATGTAATAAATTGCTGCATTTGAACCAATAAAGATGTTGGTAAAGAGGGCACGGGGTGCAGTGCAGCAACGAAAAGCGGGCGAGAGTCTTCTGCGGTGCTGAGCCGAATAACTTGATCTCCCTGCCAAGACAGTTCCTCGAGTGAAAAATCAGGAACCGGAAGGAGAAGAAGATTCCCCGAGAAATTGAAGCTTCTGAGACGAAAAGCAGGAAAAAGAAAGCAAACCAATAAAACTGGTTCCAGGCACATAATACAGAGAGTATGGAGTACATGGGACAAGTCGGTCAATAATGGAAAGGAGACGCATTGTCGTTACTCGTGAGAGACTGGTGTGTCGTTGAGAGATCAGCGGGTGATGTCTACTCCACAGTGGATGGCAGCTGGGGCCCACGTGCGGCAAGACGAAGATATGGTTTGGCGCAACTGGTCATGCATACGTATATGTCCATAGACCAGACAATATGCTGGTAAGCACTGTAAAGGAGAATTCACGGGAAAATATATTCTTCATGTCAAAGGACCTGCGCTAGCTCTGGAAAGATCATTCATCAAGGAGAACGGGCCAGCATATCTTGGAGAACAACTGCCTTTGCTTGCAACAACTTCTGACAGGAAACTTTTTTTTTTTTTCTTTTTTGCATCTTCAATATCCCTGGTACTCTTCACTTTCACACACACAGTGTGCGAAACTTGTTTTAGGTGCTTGAGTTGCTCGTTGCTGTCTGCCCGTCTGGAAAGAGCCAACAACAGCGCGGATAGACACCCACGTTGAGCAAGCCAGCCGTTTGATAGCGCCGACCAAAGAACTCGCCGACGACACCGGCCCGCCGCGCAACAAATGGGCATTACTACTCGACAAATCTTCACTTGTTTTCTCCTCTGACTCTTTTTACAATTGCGATCCTTTGGTGAAAGAGATTCCGGGGCCTTGAAGGAAGGAAATACAACGCAACGAAAGCAGGCAAGGACAGACCGTGCTCCTCAGTACAATACCCGTTCTTCGCGACCCTCTCCACAACACGAGCCGCAGACCGCTACAACAGACAAAGCAGCATTTACAGCCGAGTCAGCCATCAATACCCACGACGAGGAATCATTCTCCAAACAAGGAAGAGAACAAGCGATACCTTTTCAGAGAGTCTCCAGATTTCTTGCGGCATTTTATATCCTCAGCTGTAGCAAAAGGCTGGCTGATTGTTCATCTGCCGTCATTGCGCAAGCCCATTGTCCTGCAGCTCCTTTACAGCCCCCGGACGAATCAAGTGAATTTACGCGAGGATTGTCTTGACTTTTAGAGACATTCCCGGTCAAAGGTCTCTGCATCGAAGCAAGAGAGAATATCACAAGAAAACAAGAAAACAAGAAAAACGGAAATCAGGGGACACGCAGCGACACATTTCTTTGCCCGTTTGTCAGTCACGACGCTACTGCGATAAGTTCTTGGTCGATGCAACAATCTTCGATAGATACGACATCATAAACGGCCATTTCGGACATATGCCTCTGACGACGACTCGTCACGTTTCGGAGCTTGCAACCAATCGCGGCGTCTAAAAAGAAAAAGGAAGGAAGCCCTTGGTCGTGGCTCTACTGCGACTATACATCACCCGGCAAGCATCAACTTAACTTGGTGAGTCTCTTTTCTTGTCTGATCTACCCTTCTCTTGCATGAATATGCGCAAATCTCATTTTCCATTCGTTCCCTCGACATAAGCCCCGCCTACACAGCAGTGATGTTTCCACGTGCGCGGCCACACGCCTACAGAGGGTGACGTGCTGCGGTCGAGGGCGATTCCACGTTAGGTGGCGTGGCTGGCAATGGCCACGCATACCATACACGCACACACACATAGGTACACACACACGGAACATTCTGTTCCTTGGCACTGTACAGCAGTCGTCCGCGCCTGCCGTGTCACGTCGTGTCTATACCAACCCCGCGGCATTACTCGAGGCGGCGACAAGGCAACACATCTGCGGCCACGCATCAAAAAACGTCTCTCAAATCTCACACCCGGCTGGACTAGCGTGATGCGACGCCGGCACTAGATGGCGAGCGCTCATGTGCGTCCGGCGACTGATGAAAATCGAAAACAACGACTGGCGTCATGGGTCATATTCGGGAGACGAGCGTCGTCGCTCAACGACAGCCACGGTGATATCAGAGAGACGACGTGGAGTCTTGATACATTAGACTCTATTCGCCCTCGGCCGAGAGCCGGCTCCTCTTTTTTTAATCGCCTTAACTCTCGCGCGAGATTCGTCGAGATAGGGTCGGGCTGGCCGTTCCGGTTCATTGTCGCCCACCGCAAGCAGCGATGGCGTTGCACCATAATTTAGTCAACGGTTCTCCAGTGGTTCTTTAGTGGTTATTCAGCAGCTCTCCAGCAGTTCTTCAGCAGTTCTTCCGGGGACTTTGAGCCTCTTTTGAGCGACTCTTACAGTGGCTTGGAGATCTGCAGCCTGCTGTAATGCGCTGAAACCATACCCGGAGCCGCCACCGACAGGCCGCCACAACCCCTACAAGCTCTGCATTCCCCGTCGTCAGCCCAACAACAAGGCCCCTGACGAAAGACTGGGCAAAGAACCACCCCCCTCTCCGTGCCTTGGCCACCTCCTAGCAAAAATCCTGCTTCTCTTCCTCTTCCTCCCGCCACTTCAATCTACCTCTTCAATTCTTTCCCCGTCTATTTGTTCTTGGCGTCGCATTTGTTTAATTTTGCTTCTACCCATCTGTTTTCCCAAATCAAGATCATCCGCTAATCTCGCATCTTTCTTTTCTTCTGCGTCTTTTTCTTCAGACGCAATCAGCTTGTCCCGCTTCCTCCGCCCTGGTTCGTCGCCCCCCGCCTCGCACCAGAGACTCGCAGGGCAACCACGCACGTTGGGCCCCTCTCCCCTCTCTCGTTCACCGAGAAGGAAAAAAAAAAAAAATCACACACCCTCCCAGCGCTCGCATGACGATGAAATGGCAGCAGTAATTGGCGACTTCGTAACCGATCTCTCACGATTCCATAATATGATTACAAGCTCGTCGTCGCTGCAACGCAAGTCGCCCCGCTCCCACGAACCTCCTCACTACCAACAGTCGCCCAGCCGCGCGCGACAGCGGTCGACGTCTTATTCTACCAACAACGCTGCCGCCCTGCCGCACCACTCGCCCTCGTCGCGCCCCTCGCCCCCGTCCTCGTCGTTCCGCAGAGACTCGGCTGCCTCGCATCGCGCCCCTAAGGCACACGCGTCTCCCGCCTCTGCGGCCCGCAGCAGCCAATTTCTTCCTTCCTCTCGCGCTGGCCCTGCCACCTTTCCTTCCCCTCCGCCGTCCTCGTCCCCCGCCGCTGTCGTTCCGCCGCCACCTCCGGTAGATGATGCAAATTTTGCGTCTATGGATGCCATCAAGAGAGATGACGTCTCTGCGACTCACTTCCATCCTTCCGCGCCAGTTCCCGACTCCCGACAGCAGCAGCCCTCACCGCCCTCGGACGAATATCGCATCCATGCCACCTCTGCCGCAACCTCATCGGCTGGCCCTCTGGCGCCGCCCGTCGATGCTCCTACTGCGCAGACCATCGTCCACATCCGTGATCTCACTCATATTACTACTCTTGTCCAAGAGGGCATTCTCGGTGCTGCTGCCAACGGCGGCCCCGCGGCCGGCCAGACCCAGTACGAGATTAGTGCAATGCCGATAAACGACGTCATCGACATGGTCGCCGCTTTACTTACCAAAATCACCACGACCAACGACCTGCAGCACGATGCCATGCAGCGCAACGTTGCCCACCAGCAACAGGCCAACCAGAACCACGACTCCTCGGGCTCCCACATGACCCCCCTCAGCCACTCTGTCCTTGCCTTCCATGGCAAAAATGTCCCTGCCATTTCCATTCTCAGCTACCTTGGTAGGATACATAAGTACTGTCCAACCACTTATGAAGTGTTTTTGAGCTTGCTCGTGTACTTTGACCGCATGACGGAGCGTGTCAACGATAGAGTCGTCAAGACGGAGCGTGCCCGTCAACGGGCCGCCTCCCAGTCGCAAACATATCCTGCCCACTCGCGCTCTGCCTCGCGGCAGGTCGACACCACAATGCGTGATAGCACCACGTCTACCGCCGACAACTCGGACGAGACCGACTCTGATCTGGCCGATGACGATGATGACGACGACGACGACCCGGACGATGCCATGGTTAATTCACCAACGGCGCGAGACGACGGAAGCAAGCCGTTTGCGCCAGAGGAGCGTCATGCTGCGAGCCCGGCCACGTACTTTGTTGTCGACAGCTTCAATATTCACCGGCTCATCATTTCGGGCGTCACTTGCGCGAGCAAATTCTTTTCGGACGTCTTTTACACCAATTCGAGATATGCCAAGGTATGACAAGCACCCGCACCAGACTTTGATCGATTATGTCACTAACGTTTCAGGTTGGTGGCCTGCCGCTTGCCGAACTGAACCATCTGGAGCTTCAATTCCTGATTCTCAACGACTTTCGACTGGCTATTCCCGTTGAGGAGCTCGAGGGCTACGCCACGATGCTGGTCGAATTCTATGCTCGCGAAGTCGTGGCCAAGGGAGTTGGCATCAAATAGATGGACCCCTGACCCACCTCTGCATACAATGCAGATACCACCACCATGTTAATAATTGTTTATGGAAACGGAAACTCGGGAACGGGAAGCTCACCTTAGAAATTCACGGCTTGGGCCACAAAATTACGCCATGGCAACAAACATGGCTTGCGCAACCAACTGAATATACTGTTACAGGAGGACGGATCGCGCAGATTCATTGCGTCGGCGTTGGGGTCTCATTTTTCTCTTCTTTATCTTGCCGCTACATGTTCCCTTTGGAGGATTTTGGTTGCTGCGATGTCTTGATTCAGTGTGCTTGTTTTGGGCGACCAAGGTATATAGAGCTGATGCATTACGATTATTCCAACTCTTCGAGCGATGCATGTGTAAGACGTACAAAAGTGCATGCCTTCTTCAAACAAAGATTCGGCCCTCTGCTGGCATAAGTCTACTCATGCGTTGTCGAAGGAGCGTGAAGAGTATTTTGTACGGGCCAGGAGAATAGAAGCAGTTTTTGGGTGTGCATGGCGTCAAGACGGCGAGTGATGGTTGTTTTACGCACGTGGAATTTTACCTCATTAGCAATAATGGTTCTCGTATTGACAAGCCTGCCTCTACATATTGAGTTCACAAATCACGCCTCTAATCATAATAGAGCTTTCTTTTCGTAATAAGTGCCGAGACCGAGGCATTACTTGACCCCGTCCAGCTTTGTAGTCAGAGTTGGCGTGGTTCTTGTTTCACGTTTCAAAAAGGCAGACAAAGTGCCCGAGGGGGACGGACCATTGTTGAATGAGAGAATGTGACAATTACTTTCTAAACTTACTACGCCGTTTGGAAAAGCGCTCCTCTTCCTCAATGTCAGCATCAAAAGGGCTTTCTGACCTGCTCCGCTTCCTCCCCGTTGACTTGACCGCGTGGGTCGGACTCGAGTTACTCTTTGTGTAGTCACTGCGTTTGCCATTTGCATTTGCTACCGGTTCGCCGCATTTTTGCTTCTTTGTCGCTGCTGCTTCGGGGACGGATGCTGGGCTTGTCGGCTGCTGCCGTGACTGTGATTCATCGTCTCCGGAACAGCAACCTGCCCCCGCGGTTGAGTCTGACCGCGGCGATGCTGTGCTTGGCGGTGATGGCGGGGCTGCTCTATTCGTCATGGATTGATTGCAGATGCTTGATGGCTCCTGCTTTGATGTTGATGCTGGTCGCGCTAATGGTTGAGCTGATTCGGCAACCGACCTAGCCGTATCTCGTTTGGCATGCTCATGGGCACCGACAGTACCGGCATTCAATGCTGGTTTGGCGTGTGGGTTCTTTTCTGCGGCGGCATCTGTAGAATATGCAGGCGGTGGTCCTTCTAGCTGAGCGATGGAATCGAAGCAATAATTTCTCATTAAAGGCGCTTCATATGGACCAAACTCGTCCCAATCGGAATCGGGTTCGGTATCGATAGCGTTGTCGCTTGTATCCTCGTCCTCGCCGTCCTTGGTCAAGGAGATATGCTGAGTTTGAGAAGGAAAAATCAGGGACGGATCTTTCAGAGCCCTGTCAATATATGCCTCTTCCTCTTCCGCCATGTCCTTTTTGGAGCGGTCAGGTTCGGCCCAGCCGTAAAGCAGACAAGTGCACAGCTGTAGCAGGCTTGCCAGAGCCTTCTCGTTTAGGATTTCGGCTGTTGCTCGCTGTAGATTGTACGAGTCGCCATCGCGGCCCTTTTTGCAAACCTTCCTAGCAAGCTCGAGCTGCTTCCTGAGATCGTTGTAATATTCGGCCTCGAACCCTCTCTCTAGCTCCTCAGGCGTGCTAGCTTCCTCGGCGACTTTGAGAGCAACCTTGTACCAATCTTGCCTGCTCCGCAACGGAATCTCGACGTGGTTATACTTTTTCCAGTACTCAACTCGAAGCTTCTTGGGGTTCCTACAGCCTTTAGGAGCCCTTTGACGCCACTCGTGATTCACGTCAAAGGGCAAGCCTGACGGCGGCTCGGAGAGGAATGTCATGGTCGTTTGTCGCGCACGGTCTGGTCTTTCGATGAGGTTTTTGCTGAGGTTTACTCAAGAAAGGTACGAGATGATCGAGCGGCTATTTTGCATTGGATCGAGGGAAAGAAGGACCAAGTGACGCGTGCAAATAAGGTAGGAACTCTGCGGTCCGGGGCTAGGTGGGCGGAGACAGTGACACGACCTGTGGTGTACCTAGCATAAGGTTCGTTCCCCCGCTGACTAAATTCGTACAAGGCGGGTAAACTACATGCATCAACTACCTCCTACCTAGGTAGCGCATGCACGAGCACACGGTTCATTCTCGCCGTCCTCGACAAATTCGTAAATGAGCGCAATGTAGTCCTTATCCGGTGGCATGTGTCTTTGGATCCGGCCGACTTGTCAACGACGGCGCCCTCAACTCCTTGGGCACGGTGCACTGGTGGTCGAAGCCTGAAAATATGGTTGACCAAAGAACAAGAAACAATGGATGTTGATGGCCGGGCGGCCGCGCAACCTTTTTGTGCAATTGCTACCAATCGTTAGGGGGGTGTGATGATGATGTATTCTCTAAGCTAGCTGGCGGTCGAGCCTAATCAACAGTCAATGACCGACTACTGCTGATTGACCGGCTGTTACTTTAACTGTCTGTTGATTTAATAAGGCAGCTGCTGATTGAGCGACTGCTGGCTGCCTGACTGTTGAGTGACTAGTTGATTGATTGCTGATTGACTGGCTGCTAATTGACTGAATCTTGACTAAGTGGCTCTTCATTGACTGGCTCTTCAATGAATGGCTCTTCATTGACTGGCTCTTCATTGACTGGCTGTTGGTAAAGACTGACTACCGGAGTATGGCCTGTAGTATCTGCAAAGGACCTCCAGCGCATTGGCTATCAAGTCACTTGTTATCAGGTAATAGCAAGCGCTTTTGCACTTCCTCGGCTGAGATGCGTTTGCTCCGATCCTCATGCAGCATCTTTTCCACCAAAGACTCGATACTATCTTCATTCAGGTCCAGTGTCGCTTTTGCCTGCGCCACCCTTTCTAGCCAATTGTTCATTATAGAGCGGTGTTCGCTGCCTTCGTTGTGAACATCTTCTAGGTCAAAGTAATCCGCCCGCACAGGCTGCTTTAGCTTCCTGAGCACAATTAGCAGCGTGACCCCCGCTGCCCATACGTCCCCGAGATGGCCTCTCAGGCGCCCACCAGCATATTCCGGCGGCATGTAGGGAGGCGTACCCCCAATATCTTCGTCCGCGTCCATGGATGCCATCCCAAAGTCAAGCAAGACAGTACCACGTGCGGGAGAGTACGCAATGTTCAGAGGTTCTATGTCGTTATGTGTTATTCCCTCCCTTTTCAAATAGGCAAGCGCTGCTGTGATATCGCGCAGCATCACAAGGCTGTGCTGTGCCAAGCTGTATTGCGTCGATTCCCATGACTTGATGAAATGGGAGAGAGACGGCGGAAGATGTTCCAGAAAAATAGTCAACAGCCGGCCATCAGATCCTTTCAGTTCCATAATGTTTTTCTGACGATCTGTGAGCGCGAGGAGTCGGTCACGAGTGATAAACTGAACTTACGTGTCGTAGCTTCCTTAATATAGTTGTCTCTCGCGTCCAAGTTCTGGCGCGGTTTGGAAGGCTTAGTGGATGCTCAACCCGAGTGACTTTTGCGACAACTCGGCCGGGGATTCTGGTGTGTTGGCATGCAAAGACATTCGTGGCCGCTGTTTGACCAACACCATGGAGGTAAGAAAGCTGGTAATCAGCAGGGCTGCGACCAGTCAATCTCTCAACAGATACATTTCCGCGCAGGTGCGGGCTTGACTTGATAATGACCACCTCTCCATCTCGTAGATGTGGTGGCACGTCACTCACTGCCTCTATCTGCTCAACACGCGTGTCATGGTTCTTCAGTGTGACAGGTCCACTCACGGGAGCGACCGTCACTCGTTCTAACACTGGTAGGCTATAGACCGTTCGAGCATGGCCTGAGCTGCGGGATGCACCTTCGGCCTTTTGTGCAACACGTTGTTTTCTGGCTGCTCAACATAAGCACGCTTTCCGTGGTCAGTCGTACGAGTAGTACGGACGACGCAGAAACGGCGTGGGAGGATCAGCACATCAGCTAATGGGCATGAATTTTTGCCAGTATTTCCAGAGATGATGGCCGATATCCTCCACAAACCGGGCTGTAGAACCGTGTTGGAGCCTTTTCCCAGCCGATGACGCTGTGTTCTATCGTGTTTGGAGGCATAATATATGGTATCGGAGAGATTGTGCAATACACAATCGTCTGATGACGGATGGTAAAAGATGCGGCCCTCCAAAACCTTTAGATCTCCTCTCGAGGAGGAGTCAGCTTCCGAATGATAAGGAACTCGAAAATGAAAATCGACATCTTCTGTGCGCTGCAGCGCGGCGACTATGCTGCGACCGCAGATATCGTGAAGTCTGACAGAAGTAGAGAACTGTGACGTTGTGCCGAGGGAAACAGGACAAACAAAGATGAGTCGAGCTGCTGGCAATTGAACTTCAGAAGCATGCCTCACGGCTTCAGCGACGCGATGACGCTCATAACCTGCCACGACGAGGGCATTGGTGAAATCGGGAGCGTTCTTTTCGAAAGCTGATGTGATCTTGGCTTGTTGTCTGGCAATGATAGAACTGGATACCTTTGCTGTGGTTTCTGCGCTGGAATCTCCTTGCTGTACTTTTCCGTCTACATCTTGGCGCGTCCGGGCACGATATACGCGTCGCCGTTCGTTGTCCGACAGTGGATTGGTCGGTTCAAGGTCAGTGGCATCAGCCGCCTCATCGCGAAGATGACGGCTTGCGAAGGTTTCCATTTCCAGTGTCTTTAGCAAACAGCAAGTTGGATTTTGTCAGGAGAGAACATGGAAGAAGGAGAGTTCGTCGTTTCGTCGTGAGGGACATGAAGCCTATCTAAAGAAGGCAACATGTTGTCAAACCGTGACCCTGGGTCTCCCAAGGTGGCCGCTACCGACATATCGACTTGGCTGCGTCCACATCGGAAGGTGATATCACTGGTGCAAGATCTCTCATTAGGGAGTACCCGAAACCGCTGTAGCCGCCGACGCTATTTTAGTATGTACGACGCGTTTCAAGATATGTACAACCCCAATTTGTTGAGCTATACGCTCAAAAAATGGACGCGCCACATCTTTGTAGCGCCTATACCCCCTTATATCACAACACAATTTCGAATTATGTACAACGCCTACAACTGATTAGTCTTGGCGCGGTAAAGGCTCTCAGTGCTCTATACAAACTTGCGAGTATAGTGCTCGGGGGTTTCTGGCCGGGAGGCAGGGTCTCTAATGAGCTCGTAACGGCTCGTAACGGCCATGGTGGCGGCGGAGAATTTTGGTGTTTTGATGGTGAAGGATTGAGGTGAGCATGAGGTGAGAGATGCGGCAAGACTCTGGTCAAGTCCAGGGCCTTCAGAGCCCAGGCCCAAGTGGGGCCAACAGCGGCAGAAAAGTGAAGCTGGGCTAGCAAGAAAACCAGCTGCAGCTATTAAACAATCAGTTAAAAGCACTCAGAAAGCAAGACACCGCTATCATAGTAAAGAACTAGTTCAAATATGGCATGCGTTTTCAACTCTTAGAACAAGCCTGAACGAAAGTTTTGTTGAACCCGAGTATCACTAGCAACTACACCAGATAAACATCCATTGGCAGACTCTAACAGTTACTCTAACATAACTACCACATGGCTAGTAATAATACAACAAAATACAAACCCTGGCCGTCGCCAATAATTACCACCATATCAAAATTGCGATAATACATCTAGCATAAAGTATGCACCCAAAATGATCTATTGCAACCCACCGGTACCAGCACCATCATACTTCATCAGGCCATATTGTCCACTCCGTCCTAGCCTCACCCCAGGATGGAAGCTCGACCTCGCTCTCGGGGATCTTGACGCTAGCGCTGGTAATTTCGATATGAAGCCCTTCGACACGGCTCAATTCAATCACACTGTCGTTGTGACTGCGCACCCTGACCTCCAATGCGCGCTTGAGAAAAGGCGTGACTGAGCATGAATCCAAGTCCGCCAGCGCCCCAGTCGCGACAAGTTTCATCAGTGCCGACGTTAGCGGTAGGGTGCCAGAGATTTTAGACTGTGATCCAGTTGACCGGTTCATGGCGAAAATGGATACAGTGCCGATTTGATTTGGCGACAGTGCCCAATCTGCCGAATCATCCGCGGGTGCGCCCACAAAGAAGTGAACCTCAAACACCCCTTCCAAGGCCTCAACATTGACTTGCACATTGGCAATCCACTCTGTATAACCACCCGCCTTCACAATCTTGTCGACAGGAGGGTCCTCGGCTGTGAGTTTGATGTTTGGCCTTCCCTTGGAAGCCTTTGTACTCCAAGGCCCCCCTGTTCTCTGCAATGCAGCTACTCGGAGTTGTGAATCTTTTGCGGCGATTCCTGCTGGACTCGAAGCGCCATACCATATGTTAATTTTGCGCACAAGAGATTGTTGCAGGGCAGCTCTATCTCCAATGTGCGGATGTGTATCAGCGTAGGTATATCCAAACACCTCGGCCGTTCGCGATGTATCAGAGGTCCAAAAGGTGTCGGGGGTATCGTAAAATGGAACCAGTGGGCTGGTAGAATCTTGCACAGTTCCTTTAGGAGCCGTGTAGCTAGTTTCGCCGTTTGCCATAGGCTGAATCCAAGCATTGGGATTCAGCACTTGCCAAATTGACACAAGGCGGTCTACCATTGTGTGATGCAAGAAGAAGAGGGGATCAAATGACGACAGCGGAACATATGTCATGTGGCCCTTCAGACCTCCATATAAATGAATGACGTCGTGGATGGACTCGAGGGAATCGAGGTTCGACGCCTTCTGAGACGCAGCCCACGCCTTGTTGCTAAAGGCGTTGTACTCGTGATAGTTTGAGTATATAATGTAGAGACGCTGCTGTAGTTCGGGAAGCTTCGACAACAGCGCGGCGCTGACCTGGAAATTTTCAGAAGGCGGCGCAGTCTCACTGGCAGTTGTGTTCGGAGCTCGCTTGGTCTCGTTCCAATGTTTGAGCTAAACAGTTAGAGAGCAATAAGCAGAGCGCATAACAAATCATTGACTTACCGGGTTCCAAATAAAGGCCTCTTCGTCCAAAGGATGGAACATGTAGGAATAAAGCGGGTTGCGGATATGCTGTGGCCCGTTTGGTCCATACTGTAGAATCACTGGGCTCCAGAAGCAGTCTGGAAAGTGTGTCTCGCCAGGAGGAGCAGGTATGCTCCAATCCCAGTACGGAATTCGGAATCGTGAGGCAGCTTGCTGGTATAGATTTCGCTCCGTCGGGTTGACAAACAGACTGGCAATGGCATTTGCCAGTTTAAACATTTGTTGCTGATAGTGTCAGCCTTGCCCAAATCACATGGAAGCGTTCATACCTCATAGAGTGCTAAGTAGGGCCGGTGCCACGTCGGAAATAAGACAGAGCTGTGAGTGCAGTATCCTGACAGACTTGCTCCAGGCGCAGGCTGAACGCCGTTCCACGGCTGAAAGGGAACGCCGTGTATACCTGCAAATGTCAGTGGGAGAAATCTACACGATTGAGCCATCTTACCTGCAACTTGATACCACGAAAGTGACTGGTCCTGGCTCACGGACTGAAACATGCTCAGCGCCAGTACGTACAGATCCCACATGTACCCGTCCTTTCTCATATCGCGGAGCTCAAGCCTAATTGGCATGCTTCCATTAGAAGCCAAAGGTAGCCTTCCGACGATAATCTTGGCTGAAGGGTCTTGTCTGCGAACGAGTTGGTCTATGTCTATGCCGTAGTCATATGACTGCGCTGCGGTGGCTACCACACCAATGAGCGCGAGCAGCACTACCCAAGGCATGTTTATCATAGTCACCGATATTCTCGACCAAGAGGAACTGTGAAGAAAAGTAAGAAAGTATAGTCTGATGCCGATCCGTGGGCGTTGTGTGAGTCGAGGAGACAGTCTTGATAATGCGAATATGAATTAGGTTGTTCCAAACGCAGCATATAATGAACAAGGTCTTCCGCTGTGTCGTTTGCGGAATGGAGAAAAACCGACTTCCTTTTGTATTCCAAGTCGCAATCGAGGGAAGAGCAAAACAGTCGGCAGAGATCGGTGGCGGGCGTTTGTATCTCGTGATAACCAGAAAATGATGGAATTGTGTATCCCCGAGCCAGCGCCGTATTTGAATTGAGAAATGACAAGAACAAGAAAGATGAAGGGCAAGAAAACGCGAGCCAAGAATGAAGAGTCTCCTGTTTGCTTCGCAGGAGTTGCAAGTCGCGCCGTCGGGCAGCCGATCAAAACGCGCGACGAGCAAGAAGTGCCCGTGTTTGGTGCTTGCCAGCTGTCAGCGGAACTCGGACTTTTTCTTCTTTTGCAATGCCGCTCGCGCTGCGCCGCGTCGCGGTTATGCGGTGCACTGGAATCAAGCGTATATGACCGAAATTGAGGTAGGGATGCGAATCCTTCACCATCATGGCTCGTTGGTTCGCCTTGCCCGTGGTGCCTCGGAGAACGCGATGACCCAGCCACTCGCATGCACTCGCTTGTATACAGCCCGGCTTGTGCAACGGTCTGCAAAACGCGATCCGTCAACTTTCTTCTCGCCTCACCATCACATGCCCGAGTCGAAAAACAAGTTTACGTGATTTCGCGATAATTGAGCCGCTAACTTATGCTAAGAAATGCGCCCCCAGAGGTATACAAACGTCCCCGTGACTTGTGCCTCATCTGCTCTACATACAAATAACGGGACGAAACAATAAAACGACCAAACGTGATATGTACTTTTCCTTGTCTTATGCCTTACGCCTTGATCGCCGTCAGCGGCAGCGGCTTTAGTGCGCCCTTTCGTGGCTCATCGTCCTGGTTGATTCTGTATTTGAGCTTGACGCCCATGGCGGCCAGCTCGACGTCGAGGTACTTGAGGGCACCCGGCACAACGACCTGTGTGGTTTGGTCGCCACCGACCCACGAACGGCCTTGGCCGTCCTCCCATATCTCGCCCTGAATCTCCGTCAGATCGATGCCGTCGTCGTCGAGCCTGACGGCGCAGTGGCGGCAGCGCACCACGCTCGGGGCCTTTTTCCTCGACGGCGCGAACTGCGACACTGTCGGCTGCACCGACAAGAAGGAGCCGCAGCGGCGGCAGATCCACGACTTTGTGTAATCGGAGCAGTTGAGCAGGCGATCTTGCAGCAAGAATGCCGTGCCGTGCGCCAGCAGCGCATCACGTTCCATTTCGCCTACACGGATACCGCCACCACGCTTACGACCCTTGATGGGCTGGCCGGTCGTCGGCACAATGGGACCCGTCGTACGCACTTGGAACTTGTCGTTGACCATGTGACGCAGACGCTGGTAGTAGACGACACCAATGTAGATATCCGCAGCGAGCTCCTCGCCCGTAATGCCCGAGTACATGGGTTCGTTGCCGTGATAGTTGTAGCCCGCCTTCATCAGCTGGTGGCCAAAGTAGTCGCCCGCCGTATGCTGCTCACTAAACTTGAAGGGCGTCGAGTCTTGTGCAAGGCCGTGCAGAGCACCAGCCTTGCCTGCCAGAGACTCGACAAACATGCCAATGGTCATTCGAGACGGGAAGGCGTGGGGGTTGATGATGACATCAGGCTGCATGCCAGATTCAGAAAACGGCATGTCAATAGCTGGCCACTTTTGCGAGCAGACACCCTTTTGGCCGTGACGAGACGAGAATTTATCGCCAATAAGAGGCGCACGAGGAATGCGGAACTTGATTGAGATGGTCTGGAGAAGCTCGGAGCCGGAGTCGGCACCAATCAATCGAACTTCCTCGACGAAACCAGTCTCGCCGTCCTTGTACTTCTCGTAATGAGTGATGCCATCCAGATTGACGAGGTCACCACGGTAGTCGGGCGTCACCGTGTGCCAGGCGCAGATAACATCGCCCTCCTGAACCAGACGGCCGACGTGCGGCAAGCCATCATCATCCAGCATCCCCTGGTACGACGCGCTGACGTAGCTGTGAGGGGCGAAACCGAAAGCTTTGGTGACACTCTTACTTGCCCTTGTTCTTGAGTCATCCTTGAGCGAGATCTTCTTTGTCTTGTATACAGTTCCATGTCCAAATCCTCTCTCGTGTGCCGACTTGTTTATAATCATGGCGTCGTCCATGTCGTAGCCGGTGTACGAAATAACGGCGACGATAACGTTGGTTCCGTTGGGAAAGTTGTCAAAGCCATAGGCATTGTGCAGAGGAGCACGGACAATGGGCGTCTGGCCGGTCTGCAGGCGGTACGACTTGTTGTCTGTACGGTGTACCAGGGCTGTACCAGGGGTACCCATGGTTTGCTTACCCATCTGGCACTGATACATGTTACGCGGAGACTGGTTAAAGTCGGAGAAGGGAGTCATGTTTGCCAATATGGAGAGAATGTTTGTGGGATCAAACTCGACGTGGGTCGATAGACCAGATTCGATTTCCTCGGGTACGACAGCAATAGACATGTACGGCTGCTCGTAGGGACCGACCATGTCCTCTTTTTGTAGAGGCAAGTACTTGACAGGGCGGATCATGCGAGAGGGTGTTGAGGTCATGTAGATACCAGGGTACGAACCACCAGTGGATGGGGGAACGTATCCAATTTCGAGGTGCAGAGGCACACCACGGTTCCCCTCGACCTTCCAGTGGCGGAGACAATCAGCCATGCGCAGAGACTCCTTGGGCTTGCACCAGCCAAGGACCTTGCCGTCAAGCATAATGACGACGCTCTCCGCTGTGGAGGCAGTAGAAGTATCGACAGCACCAAGCTCGGCGACAAGGCCAGGGACCTTGGAAACATCAATGTGATCTGTCATGATTTTGCACTTGTGCGCCAAATGATTGAGAAGACCACAAGGTGCACCATCGGGAGTGTGGACAGGACACATGAAGCCCCACGATTCAGGAAGAAGCTTTCGGACTGTCGTGGTCTTGAGCTGTGCAAAAAAGGCGCCACGATGCACCATGCGGAAATGGGCAATGAAACGAAGAAAATTAAGCTTTTCGGCAACGACGGTGAAACCGGCGACCTGCTGAAGGTCCAAACCAGAAGGACTAACCAGGTTACCCGTGGAAAGGAAGTACTCGATCGAGGTACCCAAATTTTCGTTGGCCTTGCGGAAGATGGCTGTGGGAAACTCCTTGCGGAATTCTTCAGAGTGAAACGTAACGCTGGGGTGTCGGCGAAAGTATTCTCGTAGTGACAGACGAACACCGACCCCAAGGAACTCATCCAGTCTCTCCTTGAGAATTTGACCATACAAGAACCCGCCAAGAAGAATTTCCTGGTTTTGAATCGCATCGGGGTTATCGACCGCGCATTCGCCGGCGACGAGGGCATAGAGCTTGCGGACCATGAAGAGTAGCATTTTGAACTTATCATCATCCTGCTTCTCAGTAACTTTGACGTTGCCAAGGTGTACCAGGGCGATTCTGCGCAGAAACTCGGTGCCAACATCGTAGTCGGACATGGTTTCTGGAACGCCGAGAACAACTCGGAATTTTTGACCGAGGTAGGCTCGCGTCTCTGACTTGCTGTAGAGGCCATAAGACTTGTATGTGCGCAGAAGCAGCTCGACACGGTCGGTCAAGAAAGTATTTCCGGTCGCCTTGCTACCCATGGGGCCGATGAGGCCTTCGAAGATTTCGCGATCGTTGGTCTCGACGAGAGCCTTCATAATCATGATGACGGGCACGAGGTATTCGTTCTTTCGCCATGAGAAACGAAACGTAACATTACCGTCGTTAAGGTAGTGCAATACGTTGGTTTGTGAGGTTTCGTCGGGGCGGACGGAGCGAATAATGATACCGTATGGCGAGTAGCCAGGGCCACGATTCTGGAAACTGGGTCGATTGATGGCCATGGGGAAGTTGCGCTTGTTGAGCTGGAGCATGCGAATAATCTTTTCAATGCCGTTGACAACGAAATACCCACCCAGCTCTTCAGATTCTTCTTTGCGTTGGACGAGTAGTGCCGGCGAATTGTTTTCGAGGTGACAGCGGTTCGACTACGGCGTGTTAGTGGCTCGTGTGGTATTAGGTTGGCTCCTGTCATCTTACCTTGAGCATAATGGGAATCTGACCGAGGTCACGAACAAATTCATGAGAGTCTCCGCCATTAATGTTATATTCAAAAGTAGCCGAGAGACGTCCTCGGTATGTGACATGTCGTTCTCTGCACTCGGCAGGGAAGATTTCACGGTTCTTGGCCATCTTGTTGGAGGGTGGAACTTGAGGTCGGTGCAGCATCACGTTTCTTATGCGAACGTTGAGCTTATTCTTGCCCTCGGGTCCCTTGCGCTCGTCGCCGTCGAAAAAAGTTTTGGTGCCAATATCGGCCATGGCGTGGTCGAGCAGGCTGGGCTTGCCATCGTCTCGAAATAAACAGTTGAAGGACTCGATGTGAGGATCGACTGCCAATTGGAGAGCAGGATATGCGGTGTGATCTTTGGGGGGGTTTCGAAATAGGTTTTCTCTTCTTAGGAGATTATATTCGTGGTCCCAATCGGTCCGCGTCGCCGAAGGAGCCATTGTGAAGGTTTGGCGGCAGACCGCTGAGATGTGTACAGCCGCGCCAGTTGATAAAAGGTGCTATCCTACGCAAAACTGCGCGAGTCTGGAAAACTGCGCTGCTGCAATCGTAACACGCTCAGCAGCCCAAGGAATGTACAGAACGCTGACGTCGAGCAATTGTGAATCGAGAAAAAAAAGCTGCGTTTGCGCTGCACTTTCAGACCAGCCTTGCATCGAGTCGAGCTTTGTTGCGACTGCGAGCGAAAAAAAAAAAGCTGCGATAAGATCAAGTCACATGAGATAAAGAATGTGGTTATCGATACGGGGACACCCACCATCTCAGAAGTGGGGGTGTAGTTGGAGAAGAATCAAGCAAAGAGGGGCAGCCGAGCTGCAGAGCTGCGGCAACAGTTCGCCTTTACTTGTGTTATTAACAAGGGACAAGGGGCAACCAGCCAGCCCGTGAGCAGCTAACTAGTTGCAACAGAAAGCCTCCGCAGGTTACACACGGCAGTCATCAGTTCTGCTTATTTCGGTGAAGGTCTCGTCTCTCATAGGTGAGAGGAGCCGATGCCTTGCAGGCCAGCCCCTCCCACCTTGTCTAGCCATTGGCCGGCGTGCCGGCGTGGCCGATACTCAGCACAAGCAAAAAGTCAAGACGGAAACACATCATGAGCCCCTGGTGATGAGAAGTGCGACTATTGTGATGACTATCGGGCTTTGGACAATCCAAAGGCTAGTGGTTTTCACGATGTTGTTCAAATCTACTTGGTTGAGGCACACAGTGGTTCGCAGCCAATGGTGCTAGGCTGCGTGACGCTATACACATTGCTGGTGTAGATGAGCCATTTGGCTGGTGGGTAAGCGGCTGAGGTCCATTGAACAGCAGCTTGCGAGGCCCATTCCTGAGGCCATATCTGTGATGATGCGAACCCCTACGTACCAGTAAACAGCACGTAGGGAAGGTGGAGGGTGATGGTGCGAGCAAGGATCTCAAGCCACACTGGGCGTGGGCGAGGCAGGAGGGGCACTTGGGACAGCGGCCTGCATCTGTGGCCTGCAGCATGAGACCTGGTTGTGTTTATCCATTTTTACCAGAACCAGTACACATGGTCTGCAGTAGCAGATGACCATGGGAAATAAACAAGTGGACAGATGTGATTCGGGAGAGGGGAAGCTCGTATCTCGGCCAAGTGCCACGTCGTCCCCAGCATTAGTTATACATCACTGGATGATGTTGCATGTATGACTAGTGGACTGGCTCATCGTGATTGCAGCTCATTAGGCAGACACAGTGACTGCACAATGATAGCCAAAGGCAGAGCCTTTTTGCTTGGTCGCCTTTTCCAGCCGTGGCTTTCTGCATGCTGCACAAATGCCTGCACTCTGTAGCTGCACGCTGCACGATGCAAGCCTCGCCGTTCTCCGGCGCGAAGCAGCGGCCTTGACATGAGGGCATTGTAATAGGCCAGGGTGCTATTGTGGGCATAACGGCTGCATGCTGGGACCGGTAAATACGGTAAATACTGTCAAAAGTAGAGTGCTTTGTGGTGCGGTACTGTCTTGGATATCCTTGTCCAAGACTGGCTGAGAGAGATGGACCAGTGACTAGGGCCAAGCGAACCGTCTGCACTGCGGAGCAAGTCAGTTGCCGCCTAAGGGTTCATGCCGTGAGCCCTTGGTGGTCCTTTGTTTTGATGTGCCATCCTCAATATGATAGGCGGAAGGAGACGATAGCATTGAGTCGGTGAGTCGGGTTACTCACCGTGCGTAGGAGTAGAGCTGCGAGCAGCCGCGGGTTCGGATTCGATCAAAGTCAAGGTACTCGAAACGATAGCAAGTCGAACAGTGTATGGCACGTCACACGCACATGTATCCAACGCAGCGGAAACGGTGCGGGACGGTGGATGGCATGGTGCACAACGCGGGCAGTGGTATATGGAGGCCGTGGGAGAGGGCCTCCCAAGCAGCCGCCACTCCTCGTTAGCCACAGAAACATGCACCTCTTGCAGCTTCTCCAGCACTTGTGCAGTGTCAGCGACTCAAGAAGCATCTTGGCGGCGGGAACTAGATTCGGAAAAAGGAAACAAAGAGGTCATAAAGAAAGGTGAACAGGACTCGGCTCAGCTATGGGATGTGGCGAACTGCGGAAGATTCCAAGACGGGCGAAATTGCGCCTGGCAATGCTGAGGATCGGCCGGATGGCCTGGACTAATGGGTGGGAACGAAGCGAATGAGAGGAGATAACTGTTGAGAGGACGGGGTTGAAGGTCTGGTGACGCTGGCTTGTGGTATGACGTCTCGTCGGCGCGGGCGCGGTGATGTTGGTGCCTGTTACCAGTGTGTGTGCCTAGCTTGGTAGTTTGGTGGTGGTTTGGTGGTGGCTTGATGGTGGTATGATGGTGGTTTGGTGGTGTTTGGTGGTGTTTGGTGGTGTAGTAGCAAAGATGTGTAGCAGCGTGGACATGCTGAGCTGGCCTGGGTATCTAGCCCGAAATTGAGAGATGTCGCTAGAGGTAGATGAGTATTTATCTCGCATTTTCTTGGCTTGGGGTTCCCTCTCTTGAGCGCGTGCAGTTGCAATACGGCAAAGAGTGAGTGTCTGCCTGCAGTGGGCGTGCGTGCTTCTTGGGGGTTCTTGCTTGCCTTTTGCCTGCCACCTGCCACCTGCCTGCCTGCACGGTTCAGCGGCTAGGTAGTTAACGTGCATCAAAGAGGGCAGATCTCAACTTTAGCCAACCACAGCAGACGTGGGTTTTCTGGCTGGGAAACACAAGATGGATATGATGATTATCAAAACAAAAACAAAACAATACGTAAAATTCTTTTTGGCGAAAGACTGAGCAAGACTTGCACTCGACTCCTCTGGGCGCCCAACTACTCGTCAGGTAGCTGTAGCTCTCCATTGGCTGAAGCATCTTAGCCCTGTCGGGTGCATTGTTCTAGGTAGGCAGTCATGGCAAGCTTCATCTGCTTGTCTGCCATCTGCCAACCGGCTTGCAGGACATTTACCTACCTACTTACCACCCACTACCTTGATACTTTAGCAACAACATCTCTTGACTATTCACTGCAGGTATCCATCTACTCACCCATCGCCCACCTACTAAGTACCGGCCACGGCGGATTTACTCCCGGCCGGGAGGCCCCATCGCCACTACAGCCACTGACACCACTGCTAGAGCCACTTGGTGCAACCACAGTTGCGCTAAGTAAACCGCCGCTATCAGTCATTACCACTCACCAGGCACCTAGGTAAACAGTGTCGTAGTACTTCGACTTCAAATCCGGTCCTTTGACCTCTACATATTTTCCTTCTAGGTACTTCTCTGCACTTTGTTGCGGCGCCGCATCACAGCCCTGCCAACTTCTTCGGTACCTCACACAAGGGTACCGGGGCGGCCGCAGCTAGCAGTTAGCGGGCCTTGACAGCGCCAAACGAGCTGCCTCCTGCGGCAGGTGGGGTTATAAACGATACAACCACCAGCTGTACCTTTTCAGTGTCTTGGCTCTCAACCTTCCTTCGCCTACCTACCTACCAGCCAAGTACCCTTTGCTGCCACTCTCGCTTCTTGCTTTCCTTCACGGCTGCAAACACCTTTCTCTTCCACCTCATCAAGCTCTAACAGCTCATCGCCCTTTTGCTTTCTACCTCTTTCGTTCCCTACCCGTGGCTCTCTATTCGATCACATTCCTGGTTTCAGACTTGAAGCCAAAGATCCTTTTCCTTGTCCTCTTGGCCAACATAATTACACCACCCCGGATTCATCCAACCCACAAACAGCCATTCAAAAACGACGCATTCAGTGCACAACTTTGCTTTCTTCGATCGAACCAAGCTACGCAGCTTGTTACAACGCCTTCCAATTGTCATAGACTCTGCCCACGGCACGCGTACCCCGAAGAGCCCTGCGCCTCACTGCGAGCCATCGTGGGCACCTTGCCATCGCGCGCAGAGCTGTGTGCTCTGTCGATTCAAGCTAGACCTATACCTTTTCGAACCCAGCCGAGTACCATACTTTCATATCCCGTCGATCACGAGCTTGGGGACTCTGCCGTCCCGGCCCAACCGCCAGTATGACCGGGTTATTCAGAAAGGTGTACGACTGGCTGATGCGCACATTTTGGTAAGCTCGCGCTCGATACTGTCCGCCACATCCTGTCCATGGTGGGCTTTCAGCTATTCCGAGCCTGGCCTCGCCCACGAGACATGCCGCCTTCCTCGACCGTCGCCCATCCCTTGGCGCAAACTGACTCAACTACACAAATTGCCGGCTGACGCATATCATTTAGGGCTCAGGAAATGGAAGTCACCGTGGTGGGCTTGCAAAACGCTGGCAAAACATCGCTTCTTCGTGTCCTATCCGTATGTACTAAACACCAGTCTTGTTGATGGCCCGAACTAACAAGCTGTGCCTTGCAGGGAGGAGAGTTCACTGTCGAGTATGTACAACCACCTCGTTGGTCATGATGATGCCGTGACACTCGTGCATGTCTTGGCCTTGGGATTGCGTGGTCTCATGGCCTCGTTGCTTTCCGCTGAAATTTCTCATCTGCCGTTGTCTCGATTTTGTGGCTGATTCTTGCGTAGTTCGATACCGACAGTCGGCTTTAACCTGAAAAAGGTGCAGCATGGGCACGTGCTATTAAAGTGCTGGGATCTCGGTGGCCAGCCGCGATTCCGTTCGATGTGGGAGAGGTATTGCCGTGGCGTCAACGCCATTGTCTTCATCGTCGACATTGCCGACTTGCCGCAGATCCCCGCCGCAAAGGAAGAACTGCACTCGTTGATGAGCTGCCATTCTCTTGGCGGAACTCCCCTGCTCGTGCTCGGTAACAAGTCGGATCTTCCAAATAAAATGTCGGTTGACGATTTGATTGACTCCCTCGACCTCAAGGCGATACAAGGACGCGAGGTGTGCTGCTATGGCATTAGTGCCAAAGAAGAGACAAACCTAGACGCCGTGGTTCAGTTTCTCGTCAAATGGGCAGGGCGGTAGACTATGCCGGATCACCGTTGTAGTCGGCGCCCGTTGGCGAAACTTGACTGGCGGGCGTTTCTCGTCTGCTTTTCCGTTTTTGAATAATTGCGGCGAAAGCCTGGATCTTGTGATTTCTTTTCATGTTTAGAAAGCAGAGCGACACAAAGGCAAAGCAGAACCGAGGGCGACATCGGTGTGCGCTATTTCATGTTATCTGGGACGTCTTTGGGCATTTTGCAAGGTAGCATCTTCTTTCGGTTTTTTGTTTATATTGCAAGTCTTTTATGGCGTAGCAAGCGATTGGGCCATATGATGAAAGACGAGACACGAATAATGACGAGCCACAAGACGACTTTTAGCAGACGTCGGTACAAATCTTTGCAAAGTGAAGAGGGATAAAGCCGCAGGCGAGTCGGGGAGGGTAAAGCCAAGGGCGAGGCATCGAACGTCAACTCGGTCGTGGAGAGGCCGACATGGTGCGCGACGTCGGTTGTGGTTGACTGCAGCACGGTACGAAAGGAGAGGTAGGAAACAGTGATGTGAGAGAAAAAGGGACAAGCTAGGATTTTATATTCGCGGGACGCAGCCACGCGCATGCCCTTGCCGCGGGGCCGTAAGAGACAGCTGGTGGTGCATCATGCCAACTCATCTCTGCAGTTTGGCCTGGTTGCATACGTGGGGCCGAAAAAGCCAGCGCAGCAAGCTTGCGCTACCAAAGCACGTTGATGCGCTTTAATCTGCGTATGTGGGCGTATCAGGGCATTTTGATTGAGCCAAAGGGAAATGTAAAGTTGAGAGCATTCTTGCCATTATTTTGAGTGGCGTATCGCGCTGTCTACTGGCGCCGCTCTACAGGTGCACGCATTCCAGCGCGCGCTGGGTAGGAAGCTGAGGTGCGACACCATCTTGCATCGTGTCTTACGAGGGGCTGTGGGCAAGCACGTCCAGACAGCGCCACAACTCGAGATCAAAAAAATCAGAAAAAGGCAGCCTCTATTGGATCAGTGTCTTTGGCTGTGAAAATATGAAGTGAGCTAATTTGTGAAATTTGTTATATGAAATGTGTGTTGCTCCCTCTTCAGAATTCGCTGCCCAACACCGTCGGGGGATCCCCTCATTGGGGGCCAAATTATTGGCCTGTACAGTAACGGAAGTTGTTTTGGACGGAAGCGGCTCACAATAGAGATCTATAGGCTACCTGCATACAAGGAGATTTTCAGACGACGGATTCCGAGTCCCGAGAGACTTGCTTGGCAGCTCCAGCGCCGGCCTAGCTACCCGTGACGGACCAGCGTACCCCCCGTTCATCAGCGGTCGCGGCTGTGCTGTCAAAGAGCTCGCGCTAGACGTGACTCGCGCACTCAAAGTGCAACAATGGCCTTTGCGGAGGGCGGGCGCTCGACGTGCGTACCACACCACGGAACGCTGAGTGAGTCGACGGGCGGCGCTGAAAGAAGATGTGCTTGGAGAGGACCCATGATTTGCCCGCAGAGGATCATCTACCAGAACATCAGTGACGACTTTGATACCCAGGTTAAAACAACCCTAGAAAAAGCGACGGGCGGCTTAGTCTCGAGAGAAAGGTGTAACCTCGCATGGATAAGGCATGCCGGCGTACAAGATCATGGCCCACGAACCAAAAGAACGAGCGTGCCGGCCACCACCCCCGCCCACCCATGGCGGCGGCGGCGCTCATTTTTTTGACTGTGTGTTTCGGCTGGGAAGGGTTTTATCAGCACAACTTTGAGGAAGGGGGTTGTAATGCCGAGGTGAAGGGGAACAAAAAAAAAGATAAAGGCAGCAGAACTTTTTTGCCAAACTTTGGGGGAATACTGCTTTCAAGAGGTATAGTCGAGCCATCGTGTAGCTCGTGCGGGGGTTAAATGTTGTTGGGAATGACGAGTCTACTCGAGTATGAACATGAATATAACCAGCTACATGAACAAGATTTCTGTGCCTGTGCATAGTCATGGGCAGTTGAGATGAAACGCTGGCGCTTACACGACGAGGTGTAAAAGTGGCAGTGCGAAACAACCAGTCTCGCCAGCTTACCGAGATGCGGCGGCAAACTATCAAAGATGATGCTCACATCTTTTTGCTATATCTGGTTAGCGAGTTCTAGTTCGTGGCCTAGCCGGCCGAAAGTGTGTTGTCGTTGTGCCGGCCTGGGGCTTGCCACGGGGTACAATTTACATGGCCGGCCCGTGGGTGAAATAAAAAAAAGAAAAAGAAAAGGGAGAAAGAAAGAAAGAGATCCGCTGGCAGGGTCAAAGGGCGGCGAGAAGCCTGGACTCATCATGTTGAACATGAGCCGGACCATTCCAAGGATTCTACGAGTGTTCTGCAAGCAAGATGGGAAACGTGCGAGCATGTTTGTTGGTATGGTGCAAAGGGAAGTGAAAGCTCTATTGATGGCGTTGCAATAAAACAGCACCCTTTTTCCTTCATTTCAAATAAGACGCTCGCACGCACAAAAGATGTCAGAGGAGAATGAGTCGGGGAATCTATTTGCAAATTTGCCTTGATGAATACGAATTTCCTTGTTTGGTCCTGGTGGCTCGGGGGAAGCGGAGCGGCCCTCGGCGAGACAAACGCAGGAAGCGGGCCGCATACATAAACAGACGGCAAAGGAAACCATGCCGTGAGGAGATGTCGTTTCCATCTAGGACGCAATCTTTACTTTTGAAAAAGATGGACTTTTCTTATTTTTTTTTTATTTTTTTTCCTATTTGATCAGGAACCTCGGCCAACTATCTGGCGGGCACAAGACCCGAGCGACGGCCCCTTCGGGTTCCGTGATAAACCCCTCCCCGTCTTCTCCACCAAGGCACTCCCC